TCATTAAATAGTCATTAGTACAACTGGATCTCATCTTTCCAACCCACTTCACCAATAGGTACAACATTTTCTTTCTTTCTGTTCCTTTTCTCTCTCTTCTTTTTCCGTTATGTGCTGCTTTGTCTCTTTCTCTCGCTTACGCCAGTTAATAAGACAGCTCCCACTTTTCTAACACCTTCAAACACTGTTTCAGCTTTACCTTTGCTACTGACATGCCAATGTATTGTTATAATAATGAACTGCGGTTTCCTAAATCTATGTAGAATTCTATTTATTGATAATGTACAAACTGGATGCAATACTGTAGTAAAAGTGCTGAGAATTCCATTCTGTATGACAAGTACTGTTTTGGAATAAAGCAAATTATTATTATTATTATTATCTTCATTATAAACGTGTTTCATTTCCTTCCCTTACAATCTAACATTACTTAATCGGTTCATTTGTTTTTACTAGCCTTCATCGACTACTTCCACCTGAACAGTTGTTTGTTTAATCATGCTGTTTTTTATTATTCGTGTTATCACTGATTGCCTCACTTTTTCATCCTTATTATTGATAAGACCATTTCTATTATTACTATAATTATTGTTATCATTACTACTATTATGACTAATTACACAATTTATATTCACCATCTTATTATCCTATAGACAAAACACCGTGATGATTGGTTTATATTTGAATTTTTATTTGTAAACTTATATATATATATTAGAGTTAAGCCTGATGATGAGATCCAATTGAAAACAATATTGTTCGCTTAAATGTGTTGTTCTTAATTTTACTATGGGAATAATTAATATATTAAAAAATTACATTATTTCCATATTTATGCCTTTTCAGCAAATCAGTGATCTTCTACATAATAAATGGCGTCATTTACTTCAAGCTTGTCAGCTGATATTTTTATGGTCGCCTAAAGTTCATCGAAGCATATTCTTCAATCCACCTGTATCATCTACAAACAGTGGACTACTAACTAATCAAAATTCAAGTACAACTGATGAAAATACTCCAGTCTCACCGAGTTTTTCTACACCTCTTCCTCCTCCTACCCCAGATCCATTAGCTGCACAAGCATGTGATGCTCGACTTGGTATGATAGCAGATGATTTAAGAATACGTCGGATACCGTGTCGTAGTAAGCATATTACTTATACACATGTTAAAGAATTACACAAAGAACTGTCAACTTTTGATGTTTACGGTAAGATTATTTTCCAGGATCATTGTATTCCATGCGCAGATAAAGTTTTGTCTTTATTAATAGAGTATATCGTGAGCTGATATCGGTTAGAGAACCAATAGAAAACCTGCAGGGAGTACTGGACAGCTGTTTCGTCTTAGTTTGGGACGCTTCATCAATACTCACGCATCGGGTTTCGAACCCAGGGGTTTCCTGGTGATTGTGTACTGATGAAAAGTTCTAAACTAGGATCAAACAGCTGTCCAGTACTCCCTGCAGGCTTTCCAGTGGTTCTCTAACTGATGTCAGCTCATGATGAAATCCTGTAAGTAGATCTATTGTATTACTGTATAACACTGTGAGACTCTATCAAAATAAAAATTTACCCATAATGGAATTACATTCTACCACAGTGCCCAAGTTTTATTCTTATATCAAACACTTTATGGATTGACTCGAATACCCTTAACGCTTTCTCTTCCAACCTACTCTTAAGTCAGCTAACATTTCTCAATAAGAAATGCCATGTCTTGTCATGCATTGTGCTACTGTGAATCGTTAGTTTAAAGTGGAATTTGGGATTTGAATTTTATACACTAACCCCGTTTTAGTGTTTTGTCTTCTCAACTATTTTGAAATATTCGTTGTCCTGTTCAGTCGTCACATTTTTTTGTCGATTTTGTTGTTGTTGTTGTGGCATTTGTCAGTTTGAGGAGGGCGATAGGTGTAATCTCAATGAAGTCTTTTATGATTTAAATTATGTAGGTTAATTGTTAGAACATTAGAAGGTATAAAACATGTTAACGTGAGTATTAAATCGCACTGTCTCGTCTACTATGCATGTTATTAGATGGTTGGAGGCAATCGACAGGAAGTCTCGCCTGACCTAGGCTTCGTGCTAGTTGGCACTCACCAGTCAGCATGGCGTATCTGCAGCCTTGAAGGAACCCACGTTCCTTCTGAGATTCGAACCCGTGTCACCTAGTGCTGCAGTCAGACAAGACGTTACCACTAAGCTATTCAGACTAATGACTGACCTCCTTTAGAACTGTATTGGATACTTTTGATTGGACATTAGTAAGTAAGTAGTGTAATGTGTGTCTTGTCATTTCTTTGGTGCAGACTGAATTCTATCTATCAGTCAGGTTTGCAATGTGGCCACCATTCTAGGTAGCTAGCCATCACTGTGTACATTGATTTGATGATATTAGATAGTTGGAGGCAATCACATATCCTTTAAGGTTGCATATACGCCCTGCTGACGAGTGCCAGCTAGCACGAAACCTAGGTCATACAAGGCTTCCTGTGGCCGATTGCCTCCAACCATATAATATTCTATGCTTTGTTCGTTGAGGATGCGTAGACTTGCTATTTGATGCTCACATGATTTGCTTTTCCTGAATCCAGCTTGTTCCGAACTGGCGAACTGCTGCATCCGGTGTGTCTTCTAGCCTGTTTAGGATGGCTTGAGTTAGTATTTAGCTGTCGTGGACAAGAGCATGAGTGTGCTCGAGTTTTTGTCAGAGGCCTAGGTAGCTCTTATTTGTTAGTTTGATAAGTTAGTCTTTCTTCCAACCTGTGAGTACCTTTCCTTTCTTCTAGACATTTTGCAATAGTTGCGTGAACATATCCATTGCAGTTTCTGCATCCGTTTTCAGTACTTTAGGGGGAATTCCGTCCGGTCCTGCTGCCTTCTCGGGTTTCTATGGCCTGATTGCATTAAAAACTGTTGCTTTTGTTGGAGGCTTGGTGGCCTCTGACATTCTGTGCCTGTTTGCAGTATTTCCGGATGAATTGTAGGCGATCGTTGGCTAAGGAGTCCTTTGAAGTGATCAGCCCACTGTTTTCTTTGTCCCTCCTCTTTTGCAAAGAAGTATATTTCTTTCTAATCAACTCATCAATAAGCCGTCAGATCGCGAAATGACATCTGTTTGAGGGGCGTTTAAAACCAGGAAGTATTCGACACAGATATTTCCTCGCGGCATGGGATTCCCCAGCAGTACGCACCCATAACCTTATTTCGCGTCGAACCAATGACCTGTAGATTACGAAACGAGTCTGTCAATGGTTCTCTAAGTCATATCTCTAATTTGAAATCATTCAAATACCTGTGAAAAAAACATATGAAACTATGGAGAGTAACTTTGTAGGAATTTGATTTGTCTGTTCATGGGTTAATGCCAGTTTGGAAGACCATTGAAAATCAGGGAGTACTGAACAGCCTACTATTTCATCCTGCTTTGGAACTCTTCATCGGCACGCACCCACTGGGGTTCGAACCCACAACCTTTCTGTCTCAGGGCAATTTCGTAGATCATTAGCTATTTGGCCTACGAATTCTAACTTCCACCAATCCGTGATTTTTAGTGGCACCTCCCGCCAGTGGCATCTGCGTGTATTTGTCCTCCTCTGGGTTTGAATGATATACAGGCTCGCCTTGCAACTGGAAGGTCTTGTGTTCGAGTCCTGGAGGGTTCGTACTTCCGAAGAGCTCAAAATCGGGACGAAGCAGCTCTCCAGTACTCCCTGGCGGTTTTCCAGTGGTTCTTTGATTGATGTCAGCACGTCGTGACCAAACCTGTGAGGTTATATAAGACAAGTCAGTCATATAAAGTATGCATGGAGTGAAAAGTTGTCATGGAAATCAATGATGACACTTAATCTGCAATAAATGCCATCGCTTTTATTGATTTTTTTGGACTTTTTAATAAAATGACAATATTTAAGCTTTACTAATGCTCAGTGTTATTATCATCGTGTACGAAACACTTAATTATTTTGTATTTCTAAATTGTTTTTTTCTTTAATTCTATCTATGAATGACAGATCCTGATGCTAATCTTGAATTCCTTAGTCAATCTGGTCGTAATCAATGGCGCAAGTTATCTGAAAGTGGAGATGAAACACTTTTAGAGACAAAAAGTGGTCGGCTCATTTATGGTAAGTATCCATTTTAAGCAAATGATATGTGTAAGGACTACTACTGTAACGACAGAAGACAAGGGCCAGGCAACAGATCATTTATTAAGAGAATCAAGAGACATATATATCGATTTTTATGTATATTATTGTCAGCCGAAAAGCGACGTCTTCTGATTGGTTGTTTTCCTACAGAAGGTTATTCTTAACCCTTTTGATGGTTTCTCAGAAAGTGAAGCCATATATCTGCGAATCGTATTTGCAGATGCTAATTATGCTGTGATTGGCCGGTGATTTTCTCAAGGTTAAGCTTTGTTACTGTTTTTTTCTCATGACCTCGATTCGGGATGTGAGCATTGACGTAAATTGTTGTCTACAATTTTGGCTTGTTCGTAGACAGCTCTCACCACACTACTACTTCACTTATTTGCGAAGAAGTTGCATCAACCCCAACAAGACTGATCACTGACAGATATAAAACGCTCATGCGGCATTTTCCAGCTTACGTCATCTCTGGCGTAGACGTGTTATCCGGATATTGATAAAAGCATATGTGTACACTATCCTTCTTTGTGACTTTGAGACATGCTTGTTGAAAGTGGAACCGTTGAAGAGACTAGATGTCTTTAGAGCTATATATTTACGTTTTATCTTTCGTATTAAGTGGCGCATGATATGGTGATTGATTGTTAGTTTGAGTCATGTTGGAGAGTGCTAACTAGTTGGCGCTGGGGGATCATCGTGACTCTAAGAACAAATAGTTTATGACCACTGGTGGTGACATGGTTTAAAGTCGTTCTCAGTCGGCACACACGCATTCGCATTCATTGTGGTCTTCTGGATCCAATGAATTCTCATTATTATTCGTGTAATTATTCTTTGTGCTGCACATTTCTGTTCACTATCTTACTCTTGAGGGCGTTTTCCACTTTGTTTTAAATGACTTGTGACAAGTGGATGGTTTTACGTTGAAAACTCAGTCAGTCAGATGGATATCACTAAATGTCGCAAAAGTATGAGTCTAAAACAGAACCTACTACCTGCAAGCTTATTATTATTGTTTCCTTTAATTCCTAGAGAAACATAGGGCTTCAGCTTCACATTCCCAATGCGTTCGGTTCTCTACCAACGTTTTAACCTGGCTCCACGTCTGCTCACATGCTTTCATCTTCTCTTCACGTGACATCCTCCATGTTACCCTCGTACTGAAGACTAACCGCTTCCCATTCGGGTTCCACTTGAGCAATGGCACGGCGTGTAATGTCACTTGAAGGTTTCCTCAGGGTATGGCCAATCCACCTCCATTTCTTCCTGCATATTTGTTGTACAATCAGTTCCTGCTGGGTTGGTTCGTTCATTGCCAGAGATCCCTTCCTGTTGCCGGTGTTTTCTGGTCTGCCATCCGATCTTTTGTAGTATTGAGCGAAGACAGCTGTTGATGAAGGTTTGTAGTTTGTTTGAGGGGCCCTTTGTGACGCGGCACCAAGTATCTGATCCGTATAGTAGCACTGACTTCACATTGGAGTTCGGAACCCAGATCTTATTTTTAATGCTGAGTGGTGCTGTTGATCTCCACACAGCTTGCCTTGCCTTCCTGATCCTCGCTTTGATATCTTCACCAGTTCTGTCCGCCTGTTGTTAAAACGATGCCTTCTACGTAGATAGGTGAAGGAGGTTGCTTCTTTCAGATTTCTCCCATTTATGCTGATGGTCGCCTGTTGTTGTTGCTGTTGACCAGGAATCTTCATCACCCCTGTTTTCTCTATATTCACCTATCTCTGTCCTATCTTTGATGCTTCTTCTGCCAACTTGTTGTTTCTCATTTGCATATCTTCCAGTGTGGGGGAAATCAGATATATATCATCGGCGAAATCCAGGTCCAGTAATTATTTATGCCAATGTACCACATCTTCACCTTGAATAAGAAAAACAAGATCTTTAGAAAACATTCGAGCCTATAGTTCCTCATGACTTTGTTGATCGAGTTATGATGCTCTATCGCTGACTCTGAGCACTTAGAGAGGTTTGCCCAGTGCTTTCATGTGAAGACTGGGTATGTAACTAAACTAAACTAAACTGACTGTTCATTTGTCAGAGAATTATTGAAACCGAAGAAATATTGGATAGCTAGTTGTTTTATTCTTCTAGTTCGGGAGTGTTCAGCACTTGGCACTCATAACCCTCCCACGATAGAGGGAGGGTTGACCACCCAACCACTGTCACCAGTGTTACGGAGAAAATGGATACAAAAAAACACACTTAAAGACTTCAAATGAAAAAATCTCTCGCTCCATAGACGGCTAATTGTTCAGTCGCCTCCTGTTGTTCTTCTTCTCTTTCCCCCACCCCCCTCAAATTCGCCGTTAAGCACTGAAAATGTTGTCCAGAAAGACAATACAACCTCCGTAAGTAAACTATCCAACTCGCTGAACATTACAACACCAAAAATATCAAATTCCACAAACCAAAACTGGATAATTAATCTGGTGCTCATTACGGACGGACTGTATACAGGAAATTACCTGGAATTCTAGTGAGAAGTCGTAACCAACGGTTTCCACGACGATGTCAGGCAGGAGAATAGTCACTCGTCTACAATACTAGCTGGCGGTTGGTAGAAGTTAGGATTTATGGGCCATTAGGTTGGGTCCCGGTGGCTGAATGACCCACGAGGTCTCTTTGTAACCGAAAGGTCCCGGGTTCGAACCCAGGTGGGCACGTACTGATGAACACTTCCAAACTAGGACGAAACAACTGGGTATCCAGTACTGCCAAGGTGGTTTTCGAATGGTTCTCTAACTGATATCAGTTTGTGGTGACACCTGTAACCTGTGAAATCCCTGGAAACATACTCTCGGAAACCAAAAATATGAGCTACAAATCTTCTGGATTATTTTAAAACTCTTTTTGTCTAATCCATAGTATTATGGTGGTACGGTTTTAATCCGTTTCTTACGTAATGGACTGTATACATAAGAAATAGAACTTTAGAAGTTGACATTATGGATTACCTTTCACATTCCTGGTTGCTAAATCGCTATAACATAAAAATTAATTATATTAATTAGATGACAAAAATTTTGAGTTCCTATTGATTAGTTACATGGTGGCAGGGGGGGGAGGGTTGCAATTAGTGTCACGTGTCTATATACGCCTTTATTATTACTTTGCTTACTGAATTCACCGTACCGATAAGACTTCCTTCAATGTTGCATATACCATCTTGCTAATTAGGAGGAGGAGGTCAGGTAGTAGGATTCCTACTGGTCGCTTCTGACCAGTTTGTAAGAATAATGAGTCCACATGGCGTAGCAAATTATAGATATAATCAATAAGGTTACGTAATTGTTCTATAGCTAATTGGGCGTAGGCAGTTAGTTAGTGAAAAGAAAGTTTACAAAAGCTAAAACAAATCAATACTATGGTAAAATAACTCTGTAAACTGATGGCATCAACTAAGTTAAACTATTTAAATTTACTCTGTCCTCCTTCTTGTTTTCTGTATACATCACTAAGTGACATTTGGTAGTATGTGGTGTTGGCATTTGGATTGTATGTTTCAGTCCCCTCGTATGAAATATGGACTTTTGCTAGTGTGAGGCCTACCAATACGCTATATGAAGTGCTAGTCGTCTCATTGGCTACAGTGCACTGGATTTTCACCTGTTTAGATCCCCAGTGGTTGGAGTCCTTCTCCAGCCTCTCCCTAGCAATGAACCAACGACGATTTTCTAGTGTAGGGGTTTTACTACGAACTTAAATCAGTCAGACAAATCAGTGGAGGTGAGTGGGTATCTAACGTCTGTTTCGTCCTATTTCTGGACTCCTCAAAAGTAGATACTCACCCCTGACTGTTCTATTGATGTGGGACTGAGAACCTTTAGGTTGCAGGGTAACCAATTGGGACGAAATCTTATTGCCGACGAATTCTTATTTCTGCCGATTTTTGATATAAACTCCCTATTTGGCAACAACATCAACCAATATCATTATTGAGTATCTGTCCTCAAACACGACTCGGTCGACCCCACTGGTCAAAATTTGTCTTTAGAATTCTAGGAACACTTGATTTCATTTTGCTTCAAGGATTGACATTTTTTGCTGTAGTTGTGTTCTCTGAGCTGGATGGCTTACTTGCTTCAAGCGTCGGTGGTACAGTGGTTAGGACCCTCGCCGACCATGCACATGGTCCGGGGTTCGATCGCCTACGGACGCACACCTGATATCTATGATCGGCCTACAAAATTTGGGCTACCGATATCACATGCTGAAAATTCCATACCTGTACCAAAAATACGGTGTGCAATCAAGCTGTAATAAAATTTAAAAAATTGCCCTACTAGACAACATCCTACACGAGTTTATTAGTCATCTCTCCTGGTAACCTTGAACGCCGTGATTGGTTATTTTTGTGTGTTTTCATACCCTCTAGTCTACTTGTATTTGGTATCGAGTGTTTCCTTGACCTGAAGTTTAACTTTTTGTTCATGTGATTTCCTTCTTATGGATTGGTAAATCTTGTCTATGTCAATGTGTCTATCAACTGTCTGTCTCTCTGGATTCAACATAGAACTTGGCACCGAAGTGCAGCAGTTCGAGTTGCCACGTTCCAAATAGGACACTAAGGTAGACAAGAAGATGAGTAAAGAGAATCAATAGAGTTTTGACAAGTATAAGAGTGAAACAGAATGAGTAATGGTAGAAATGAGTATGAAAGATTACAGAGACTGAATACATCTGCGTAAGCCATTGACAACGATTTTGAGCCATGTCACCTATTGTCTTCAGCCATTGATTCTTAGAGTCCCGAGGGTGGGCCCCAACCCGGAAGTCTGCATCTCCCTACCTGACTCAGTTAAACTGTCAAGGATTTCATGGATTGATGAGGCCATGTTTTTGTTTGGCATGGCACCACTTACTCTTTTCCAACCTGCACGTATATCAGCTAGCAATGCCCGTCGGGGGAGGCGATGGTTAGGCATGCGCAGCACATGACTTAGCCATCTCAGTCTATGTAACTTTACTTGCATACTAGGATTCTTAAAATTCTCTGACATTCTTAGTACTTCCTCTCTCTAATATTTGAACGTTGTCCCGGGTCGAATTGATGTCTGTGGTTGTTTGTATGCAGTGAATGATGTGAGGGAATGGATATCGATTCTCTTGATGGCCAGTTTATGTTCATGATTGCAAAGACGCAGAGGAGGGGCGTCCAATTTAGCCAATGTAGTGTTTTTCGCAATCATTGCAATTTATTTTGTAGGTGATGTTGGTTTTATCTTCTTTCGTTGTTGAGTCTTTTGGCTGACATAGAAATTAGTGAAGTAATTTTGTTGGTTTGTGTGCGACATCAATTCCTAAAAGTTTGAAGAGTCTTGCAGTGATTTCTGAGATGTCATTTATGCATGGTGTGGCGATTGTTTTAGTGCTTTCCTTGAGGAGAGGAGCGTTGATTTGGTAGGTTGGCTTGGGGGGGTAGATTTCTTTTGATGGAATTCCGTGGATATCCATTATTTTGGAAGAGATATTTTTCGTCAATTTTCCTCAAGGTAGAAGTGCTGCAGTGAGTCCTGGCTCTCATGAATAGTGTTTATATACCATTCCTCAATAGACGAGACTGTGAATTTACATCGATTGAGATGGTTAGGACATGTGGTACGCATGCCTAGCCATCGCCTTCCTCGACGGGCAATGTTAGCTGACTGACATAGGATGGATCAGGTTGGAAAAGAGTTAGTTAGTGGTGGTCAAACCAGAACTTGGCTTCATCGGTCAATGAAATCCATAACAGTTAGTTTAAGCCAGCCACGTAGGAAGATGTAGACTTCCTGACTGGTTGAGGTCCTCAGGACGGTAAAAACCAATGGTTGGAAACAATTAGTGGTATGGCTCAAAATCGTTCTCAGTGATGGCTGGCGCAAATGCATCCATTCCTTGTGAATTATTATTTTCAATGAAACCATATTATTTTTCGTTATTACTATTCCTTTGTCTCAATTCCTTGTCTTGTACTTTCTTCTCTTGCTTTGTGTGCTACAAGGAGGGAGTGGCGACTTGAACTGCTGCACATCAGTGCAAAGTTCTATGTCGAAAACAGACAGGCAGACAGACACTGGGACAGAATTCTATTAAACCGTGAAATTTAACTTCAACCGATTCTAAGTAACATGTCTTCACACCTGACTTGTTGGTCCCCGTTTCGTCACAACTTCTTACCAGTACTGGAGGAATACTCTCCTGTAGTCAGTCCAGCTGGAGTAAATGAAATCACAGAGGAAATTGGTGTCTTTCCTTTGTACTACTTGTTCTTATTCGCATCTCTTTTCTCTTTATTTTTTTCTTTCTTCCAGGTCCTCTTAGCTTACTTTCTTCATCAGCAAGTAATTGTAAAAAGAGCGTATTGTCGTCTAGTTCTTCAGAGATATCTGATCTATCAGACTGTGTTAGTTCAAATGATGACGATGATGATCATAATGATAATGATGTCGAAGAACAACAAGACGAGGAAGAAGATGGAGACGTAAAAGAAGTGACGAAATCAACTCCTTCTGAGAACAATGTCAAACGGATATCTGCTTCGCATAAAACTATACAAAATACCAAAAATATGAATAATGAAAAGAATAAATTAACACCTCCTTCTAATTCTGAAGTAAAAGAACTAACGGATAACTTTGAAGGTTTGTCAATTTTGTCTTCTTATCCACGTGTTTTTATTGTTTTCGTTTTACACGTTTTAATGCCTTCTATTTTCTATAATTAGTGCGTCTGTGGTATAGCAGTTAGGACGCTCGCCGACCATGCGCATGATCCGGGGTTCGATCTCCGGCCGATGCACTCCTTTACCTCGCTGAGCCAGAAATAATGCTGGTGAAGAGGAAAGGTTGGGCATGAGGCTAGCAACCCCATCCTGTAAAAAACCCTGCTACAGAAACTTCAAGCCAGTGGCTTGAAGCCCTATGTTCCACTGGGGAACGTGAAGAAAAAAAGTTTTTCTATAATTTGGTTTGTAAGGGTTAGTTTTGTTTTTGCGAGTTGATCACGGATTGATATCAGTTAGAGAACCATTGATAACCAGCACTGGAGTACTGGAGAGCCATCTGTTTCATCCTAGTTTGAGAATCATCGGCAGTACGCACCCACACCACGGGGTTCGAACCCAGGACCTTCCGGTTACAAGGCCAGCAAGCTCGTATACCATTCAGCCACTGGGACCCGATTCAGTGGCTGAATGGTATACGAGCTTGCCTTGTAACCGGAAGGTCCTGGGTTCGAACCCCAGTGGGTGCGTACTGCCGATGATTCCCAAACTAGGATGAAACAGATGGCTGTCCAGTACTTCCTGGTTCTCAATGGCCTTCTATTTTATTTTCAATCTAGTGATAAAGAAAAATTTCTCAAGTCTAGAAATTTTACCCTGAATCTACGTAATTTTCACATGGTTAATTTTTGATTCGATATTTTATTAATCCATCTAAGTAGACAGCCACCCATCCACACACACACATACACAGAACTGATTGTTATTGTATATTGTGATTGTACAGCTATGATGATGAAATCGTCGAAAAGAGAATTTTCCTCTCTGAATTCTTTGTTTTTATATCACACAATGGGGATTAATAATTTACGTAATTCAATATTGTCTAACATACTTTAATCGGATTACAAATATATACTTTTAAAATGCATGAAACGTGACATTTTGTAAAATCAACCCATGTATTCAGTTTCATTTTCGTCTTTGCCCTTCCTCTACTTTTCATTACTTATTGATTAACTTTTAACAGAGGGGGAGAGAGAGTGAATAAAAAACACTGGTGCAGTCAGAATATTGAATTAATTTTGTTCTCTGAGCTGCTAGTTGGTTTAATTGTGAAGCTGTCGTCGTACCCCATCTAGACAACAGCGCTTCATAGGTGTCTCCGTTCTATCTCCCGCGTGAAGTGGTATAATAAGGTGAGCAATATTGAGGTTAGGCGTCGAGTGCTAGTTAAGGCGGGGAAATCAATCGACGAAACTGTGAAATTACATCGACTGAGATGGTTGGGACATGTGTTACGTATGCCTAATCATAGCCTTCCTCGATGGGCAATGTTAGCTGATATAGGGCCAGGCTGGAAAAGAGCTAGCGGCGGTCAAACGAAAACATGGCACCAATCAATGAAATCTACAACAGTTAGTCTAAGCCACGTATGAAGGTGTAGACTTCCTGGCTGGTTGGGGTCCTCGGGACAGTAAAAACCAATGGTTGGAAACAATTGGTGACATGGCTCAAAATCGTTCTCAGTGGCCGGCGCAGATGCATCCACTCCTTGTGACTTATGATTTCCAGTTAAACTGTTTTGTTCTTCGTTATTACTATTCCTTTGTCTCACACCTCTGATAACTGTCTCTATTGTGCATTTCTTCTACTTTCTTTTCTTGTTTGTGTGCTACAAGGAGGGAGTGTGGCGACTTGAACTGCCGCACATCAGTGCAAAGTTCTATGTCGAAAACCGAGCGACCGACCGACCGCTTCAGTATAAAATGGACTTATTTAAATTGTCTCCCCATGAATGATGATGTAATTGTATCTCTTGGCAACCGCTGTCGTGACTGGTTGTTAACTTACGTCTCTTTAATCATTTTTATTGACTTGAAATGTGAACTTTCTTGTCATGTGATGATTTACTTTTTATTAGCTGGTAAATTTGGTCTCTGGAGGTAATGTATTTGTTAATCGCTGGTTGATCCAGTTGAGTACCAGGTTTGTAGGGATTCCCTGACTGCATTTTTGGTGTTTCCTCTATTTAAAATTTCTATATTCTCCCAATCATCGAAATTGGTGTCTATAATTATCTACATGCATTGGTTCATATGAAAGAATATATATCATGGTTTTTTAGAGCCAATTTGTGTTCTTTGATTTGGATTCGAAGGGGATGCCCACATTTGTTGACCGATGTAATGTTTATTGTAGTTTATGCTTGCAATTTATTTTGTAAATTGTATTAATGTTTATCTTCTTTTCCTGTTGGGTGGATCTTTCGGTTTGCACAATATCGAATGAAGTGATTGTACTGGCTGGCTGGGTGGGTGGGTGGCTTGTGGCGTGCTATATCTATTTCAAACAACGGTCGTAATATCCTAGCCGTTATTTCACAGACAAACAGTGGTAAATGAGGAAAAAGGCATATAATGGACTCACACAAAAAAACCTGGAGGATCTGGACTTCGCCAATGTGATATATATCTGATTTCCCACAAACTGGAAGATATGCAAGCGAAAAGCAACAAGTTGGCAGAAGAAACATTCAGGAAAGATAGGACTTCAGGTGAACATAGAAAAAACAGAGGTAATCAAGATTCCTGGACAAGAACAACAACAACAGACAACGATCCGCATAAATGGGACGAACCTGAAAGAAACAACCTCTTTTACCTACCTGGGAAGCATCGTCTCAACTACAGGCGGAACTGACGAGGATATCAAAGCAAGAATCGGGAAAACCAGGCAAGCTTTCACTACTCTCAAGCCTGTGTGGAGGTCAACAACACTCAGCATCAAAATAAGATCCGGACTTTCAACTCCAATGTGAAGTCAGTGCTACTATACGGATCAGAGACTTGCACTGCGCGTCATAAAGAGCATCTCAAACAAACTACAGACCTTCATTAACAGCTGTCTTCGCTCAATACTCAAGATCAGATGGCCGGCCAGAAAAGATCAGCAACAGGGATCTCTGGCAACGAGCGAACGAACCCAGCAGGAACCGATTGTTCAACAAATATGCAGGAAGAAATGGAGATGGATTGACCATGCTCTGAGGAAACCATCAAGTGACGTCACTAGACAAGCCATTGCTCGAGTGGAACCTGGCCGAAAGGGAAGCGGCGAGTTGGTCGTCAGTGCAAGGGTGACTTGGAGGAGGTCATGTGAAGAGGATATAAGAATAAAACTTGGGCACTGTGGTAGAGTGTAAAGAACTAACTGCGGATCCTGAACTCAATCACAGGACAAAGCCGTCCATTGAAGAAATTATTTTAGGGATTCATCTATGCCTCACATCTACTATATTTAAATTCCAAGGCAAAATATATAGGCAAACTGAAGGTGTAGCAATGGGATAACCAATATCCCCTATCGTGGCAGATATATTTATGGATAGTTGGGAAAATATGGCACTTAATATGTTTAATCCTACTCCAAAAATATGGTGGAGATGTGTGGATGACACTTTCACAGTGTTAAAAACAGAACATATCTCTAGCTTCTTGACACACATAAACTCACTAGTGGAGGGAATAAAATTCACATTTGAATCAGAAAATGAGCAAGGAGAATTAGCTATGTTAGATTGTGAAATAAAACGAATAGAAGAAGGCAAACTATACACTAGTGTTTATAGAAAACCAACGCATTCTAATAGATATTTAGACTTTAGTTCATCTCATCCTTTAACTGTTAAGGCAGGCTTAGTTAAGTGTTTAACATGTAAAGAGGAGATGAAAACGTGTGGGCAAACTTGGAGCCAGGTGAAGACCCTAGCAGAGAACCGAATGCAATGGAGACGCACGGCTGAAGCCCTATGTTCCTCTAGGAATTAAAGGAAACAATAATAATAATTTTATATCTTCGGTGGTCGTCATCTACGTAGAACCTATAATACTTAGTGAAACCAATTATGATATATTTCTAACGTACATTTTATTCGTCATTATGAATCAGTCCTCCAGTAATTAAGGATTGTTGTAATAAAGTCATAGTGAAATCAAACATAAGCAGGATAAGGTAGCGATCCTACCCCACAAAACCAATCACAGACTACTACACAAACTTCAACGGACAATAAAAAAATTATTAAAAATACAAAAACTTCGAATAACAACAGTCTTATACTTCGCTGGAATCGGAGAGGTGAAATGACACAGCAGGCTGGTGAAAGTCAGCTTTCGGGAAGCCAGTCAGCCGGCCAATGTAGCTTCTTTCGATGAAAGCAAGAATAAGAATCACGACGTGAAATGTACGTAATATGTACAAGGTTGGGTAAGCTTCCCAGGTAGTCAAAGAAATGCGAAGATATGGCATAGAAGTGCAGGGAATCTGTGAGAGCAGATGGAATGGATGTGGAACACACTGGTCACTTCTCGGTTAATTTTTTTTTATTGCGATATCTTTAACAAAGAGAAAAGAGTCCTGAGCTATTTTTTGTCTGTTAATTATTTTGAATGATGTGGTTGCGTCGTCCACTTGGCTTCTTGTGCCTATGAGATGTTTCGCATAATTGATGTGTTCAAACTATTTGGTCCCTTCAGTCGAAGACTATATGTGGTACATGTTTGAAGAGTTTGATATAGGTCCTTCTTCTTGCTGTTCCCCCTATTTGAGTTATCCTTATCCCTTCTCATGTTTGGTTTCACTATGAATGACTTTCTTGCAAACAATTCTTACTAATTGGAGGACTGACTTTGCCAAAATATTGTTTAGATTGTATGCAGCTGATGAGAACCAGTGAAATGAAATATGATGCAGATTATTCTGCACCAGTGTTTCTTTCTCTCCTTATTCAAATTCATAAAAGAGGAATTCTTGTATAAAATTATGAATTTTAATTGGATACTAGTCAGTGACTAGTGTAATGTATCTAGTCCTCGGCGTTCGTGCAGACTGAATTCTATCAGTCACGTTTGCAATGTGGCCACTATTCTAGGTGGCTCACCATCAAGGTGCACTTTAAATTGTTGATTTTAGATGGTTGGAAGCGATTGGCAGGAAGCCTTGCCTGACCTAAGTTTCGTGCTAGTTGGCACTCATCAACAAGGCGTATCTGCAAAAGAAGTAAATAGCTCAGTGTTGCTTAGTTCTACACTTCTCAACTGATTCACGTAACGAAGTAATGGATGGAGGACATGCACCTTGACCAGTGTTCTCATATCAAGACTTAGACAGTATTAACGTGTAATAAGAAGTGATACAGTTGATGTCTAATTTGGTACATTATTACTCTTGGGGTTCCGAACGGAATAAAAGGTTTCAGTCGTATATCTCAGGGTCCCAGTGGCTCAATAGTCTACGAGCTCACTTTGTAACCAGAAGATCCTGGGTTCGAACCCTCTGCGGTGGGTGCGTACTGATGAAGAGTCCCAAACTAAGACGAAACAGCTGTCCAGTACTCCCGGGTTTTCCAGTGGTTCTCTAAATGATGTCAACTCATGATGAAATCCTCCATGCAATCAAACAAAAAAATCCCTACAAAACGAATACTTGAAAATATTTCAGAATCATCCTTTCTTCTCAGTAGTCCTTTTAAGCTGGCTTCACGGTTGACTGTATACTATCACTTACTTCCCCACGTGTTCAACTCGATGTTTCCCACCTGGATCTGACTTGAGGACCTGGCGTGCAAGGGGTACTTTATGATCTCCTCAGCGTATGTTTAGTTCATCTCTATTTCCTTTTGCATATTTTGAAGGCACATTATTATTATTACTGCAAAATATATAAGCTAACAATATTGTTGCTTTCAATTAGATCTTCTCCAGGCTTTACTCTAATTTACATAGATTTATATATAAAAATTTTAACCAATGACGGTGATTTTGTGGATGAAATAATAATAATGATAATGTGGTAAATGTTTTGAACGTCATTAATAACGATGATTATAATGATAACAAAATATTGATAATAAGGTTTATGCAGGTGGCGATAAGAATAACGAAGGTAGTAATATGTGTATATGTAGACAATTCAATAAATAAATTAGGTCAAATCTTAAAAGTTACGTAATACTAAAGGTAGGTGAAGTGGACAGATAATCAGAGTTTAAATAAATATCATAAAAGTACGAAGGAGATGGAAAATAAGAAAGGGTGGGAGGGTTTTGATTAGAATTTACCTAGACGAAGCAAGGGAGAGACAAAGGTAGAACAAACTTCTTTTGTTGTATGCAAAGACTAGGATTGTTCTCTCGAATTAATTCCCATAGCTTTCGGCTATGTGTAAAAGGCGGGTTCGAATTCCGTTCGAAAGGCTCGATGGAATGCGATAGATAACTTTGAAGGCACTATTTCTGTCCACTTGGTGACCGCTATCAATCAAATGAGCCAAAATAGAACTTCTTATAGATTTTATTTGACCTTTTCCGAACCATGAAGGAAGATGCTCATTAATGCGTTTGTTAAGCTGTCTAGTTGTTCGCCCTATATAGCTCTCTCCACAGGAGCAACTAAATTTATAGATACACATAGAAGTGGTACAGCTAGGTAGCTTGTCTTTCACTTGAGCAATCATAATTGGTCGGCTGGAAAATGACAAACAAAGGGTGGCGACAGTGTAAGTCCGTTTTATCGCTCTCGATAATCTCAGATGTAAGACTTCGCTAGCCACGTCCCCATTAAATTGCAATTTCATGAACAGTTGTTTCTTTTCAACTGTTGTCAGTTTCTCTTTATTGTACCTGGTGTTCATGTGTCTCCTTACAAATCTACTAGGATAACCCATTTGGACCAGCGTATTTTGGATATATCCTAACTCATTTTCTAGGGAGTCATCTGTACAAATACGTCTTGCTCTATTCGTGAGGCATCTGACCAAATTGATTTTGTATCGGATTGGTACAAAACTGAGGAAATGTGTATATTGTCCTACAGATGTAGGTTTTCTATAGACATCTCTCTTGAGTGAACCATCCTCTCTTCTGCTCAATTGGACGTCAAGGAAATGTAGTCTACCATCATGTTCTTCTTCACAAGTGAAAATGAGCGATGGATGTGCATCATTAAATTTTATTAACATTTCATTCTTGTCAGCTTTCACATCAAGAATAATAAACGTATCATCAACATAGCGAAAATAAGAATCAGTTTTATTTATTACTTGTTTCAATGGACCATTTTCAACCTTGGCAAGAAAGAAATCTGCCAAAATTGGCCCTAATGGAGAACCACCCATGGCAATACCGTCGATTTGTCTGTAATAAAGATTGTTGAATGTGAAGTGTACATTCATAGTACATCTTAAAAGCATATATTAAACAATGTAAATTAGGGTAAAGCCTGAAGAAGATCTAATTGAAAACCACAATATTGTTCGCTTATATGTCTTGTTCTATAAATATCTCTTGATTTTCTCAATAAACGATCTGTTGCCTGACCCTTGTCTTCTGTCGTTACAACACTATTTTTAATTAACTTATCATTTAAGCTATTAACATTAGCTATTATCGTCATTATTTTACACTTTTTAAAGGAAAAACAATTTTGACTTTATTATCACTGCAAATACCAAAAAAGTTGCTATCATATTAAATCCTGTAATATTATTTCTTTTATGAATTATTGTACTAAATGTTGAGAAGTTCACACTGTTATCACATGAGTACTGTTTTGAAATAAAGCAAATTATCACTATCACTATTATTATTATTTATTGTTATTATTGTAAAATGTTTCTATTTTCAGATTTATACCTAGCGCATCAAAATTGGCATAGACGTGTACGCGTAGCCATAGCTTCAGGTGATGTGGTGATTTTACGGTCTCTATTACCAAAGACTAGCGTCTCCAGTGTTGTAATGAATCAAAATCATGATTCCATTGAATCAGAAAGTGTTCACGGTGCAAGTGTTTCTCCGACGACTACAACAACAACGACTACTACTACGCCGACAGTGATTGCTACGACCCCCCCGCCTCCTCCGACTATTAATACGTTAACTCCCGGTGAGTAGTGTAAAATTTTCAGTGTTATAATTGTAATTATTTACGTCTTATAATTTATTTTAATCTGCGTATGCATGCAAAAAAGTGTCTTGTATTTTTTGAAATAAGTTGAACTTTAAAAAAAATTAGAGTGCACATATACTACTGATTGTTATATAAGTAGTTGGATGCCAGTCATTATCAACCCGTAAGGAGTAGTTGTCAGTTAGTTAGTCAGATCAAAGTGATGTGAACATGCGGATCAAGTTCTTCTTGTGTAACCTGAACGTCCTGGGTTCTATCCCCAAACGGTGGGGGAGTTATAGGTGCGTACTGATGAAGAGTCGCAAAATAGGACGAAACAAATGACTGTCCAGTAGTACTCTTTGGTTTTCGATGGTTCTCTCATTCACTGAAGTCAGTTAGTTAGTGGTTAAAACTTGAAATGAATCAAATCGTTGCAGAAGCAACACTGGAAAATCAGTCTACTGCTCTCTAGCAACTCAATACAGGTTGAAGTCGCCTGAAGTTTTCTGGTAAGATGGCGACTGCTCAATATCGTGAGTTGTCTGCGTTCTATCTCCCGTGTGTGCTAAGTGGTTTAATAGGGTGAGCAATATTGAGGTTAGGCGTTGAGTGCTAGGTAAGGAGAGGAAATCAGTCGACGAGGCTGTGAAGTTACATCGACTGAGATGGTTAGAACATGTATTATGTATGCCTAGCCATCGTCTTCCTCAACAACGGGAAATGTTAGCTGACATAAATTGGATCAGGTTGGAAAAGAGCCAGTGGTGGTCAAACCAAAACATGGCTTCATCAGTCAGCGAAATCCACAACAATTAGTTTAGGCCAGCCAGCCAGCCACGTTGGGAGGTGTAGACTGTGTGGCTGGTTGGGGTCCTTGGGATGGTAAGAACCAATGAGGGCTGAAGACAATTGGTGATATGGTGCAAAATCGTTCTCAGCGATGGCTGGCGCAGATGCATCCAATCCTTGTGACTTATGATACCCAATAAAACCATATTGTTCTTCCACATTACTATTCTTTTTATCTCACATCTCTGTTTACTGTCTCTATTTTGCATTTCTTTTTACTTTCTTCTTTGGCTTTGTGTGCTGAGTGAAGTGTGGCGACTCAAACTGCTGCACACCTTTGGAAAGTTCTATGTTGAATCCAGTCATTCATTCAGTTGGTAGAAGTTAGAATTCATGCGCCGGTGGATTTCGTTTCAGTGACTGTGAATTGTGTACGAGTTTGCCTAAGGGGTGGCATCATTGGCGCGCACCGCTGAAGAGTCGTAAGCAAAGATGAAACTTCTGGCTACCTGTTACTCTTCTGTTTACAGGCATTTTCTAACTGAAGTCAATTCGCGATTAAAATTAAAATCAGTCAAGCACCCGGTGAAGTCAAAATCGCAAATAATATTTCTTCCAGTATTCTACTTAACACAGTAGGTTAAATTTTAAGAAGTTAATTGGTGGATGATGACTAGCAGTGGAATCCAGGATGCACATTTCGTCCTATTTGGGACTCGTCAACTGGTTTAGTTCTGTTTGAAGAGTGATTTAGGTGGAAACTAGTGATGATGGTTTCTGGAAATGAAACCAACGAAATGAATATTTTTCCCGGTCATATATTCACATTTCATTGTATTTCACGCTTTTAGAAATTGGTAAAGAATGAATATTTTATATATCTCTATATATATGTATGTATATGTATTGTATCTATACATATATCTATTATAGAGTGTACATCCCCTGGATCCACCATACCATCATCTGATGCCTGTTCAAAGCTAATCAATTATCCACTCACTGATGGACGAACACTTTTACATGTAGCTGTTGAATTTCAAAGTGATCCAGAAGTACTTCTATTATTACTTGAATGTGGATGTGATCCTGCTGTCAGGTTAGTTGGTGTGTGTGTTTTACGATGTGATTTTGTTTGACTGAGTGGAGGTCGTTCCAGTCATAAGAGTGTCTTCGGAAAAGGTTAATGTGTAACTCTTCCTGGCAGAGTTTTGACTCCACCCTGTTGGGAATATTCGACTTGATTTTAGGGTGTACTTCTTACGGTCGAATTTTGGTTAACTGATTTTCTCCTATACTACTTTCTGATGTTATTATTGTGCGTCAGTGGCACAGCGCTTAGGACTCTCACTGACCATGTACATGGTCCGGGGTTCGATCCCCTGCCGACGCACACCTGATATCTATGGTCGGCCTGCAAAATTCGGGCTACCGATATCACGTGCTGAGAATTCCATACCTGTACCAAAAATACGGTGTGAAATCAAGCTGTAATAAAAAAAAACCAATTAATTTCCTTTAAGAATTTTAACAAAGCAATAAGAAAAAAGGTCAGTTATCTGAATCGTGTAATGTATTTGCGCCTACATATATCGAACAATCTGATCGTACACATACTATAATTAGTAATAAATAACAACTCATAATTACCGGCTACAGAACAACGAAGTTGCCCCTGGAGTTCTAGTTTTAGAGAAATTCTGACTAGTGGGATTCATCCAGTCGGGAGTGAGGATAAAAAAACTCGCCGAAGGTGACTTATAAGTCGTACATGCGAGGAAGAAAGTTGCAACCAACTTGCACTTTTTTAGACATACTTCTGAGTCGCAAAGATGATGGTAATCAAGTATACTGAGACATATAGGTGCAATGGTAGAATGCTCTCCAACCACAAACACACAAACGTGTTCCCCATATATTCGATTCATGTCCGATGCCCTCCTTGTAAATCTCACCCGATGGCTAATATGTCCGGGAAAGAGGCTGGTAGTGGGGAGGTGAAGGTTTGTCGTGAGGTTAGCAACCGGATCCTGTATAAAAAACATCACTACTATGCTTCTAAAATTCCAAAACTTAAGCTTGTGAAGTGCCCCCTGTTCCACTCAGAATGCAAAGGAATGTACGAAAAAGTTGATCTGGCGGTAGACGACTTCCGGACTAGTAATTTAAAGGCCACGATCCATTTCTTATTCATAATCGCATTTGATTTCAATTCTTCATTTTCTTTTCTTTAGTGATTCTGATGATGTAACACCCTATCAATTGGCAATACGATTGCATAAAAAAGCGATGGCCAACGTGTTTCGACGTTTTCGGTTTCATCAACCAGATCGTTATGATTATGATAAAGCTCGTGTAAGTATTTTTTCTTTTATTCCTTTTTTTGTTGTTGTAGTTATTGTTAGTCTGAACTTCCTAATTGTTTGACGCTTGTTCTCTGTTGTTATGTCAACCCTTCGCAGAAGACGCTTCGGCGATGCCTTGAGATAACCACTATATATGCTCTGTTGCTTATTTGTTAGTGGTTAGCAGGAGAATCAACGCCGACAGTTTCGTCGTGTTTTGTTCTCGTCAACTGGGTTTAATTGTATCTCCGTTGTTTCAAATACCATCATTTACTAGATATGTGTAGCAGCTGACGAGTCATAAGTAGGACGAACTGACTGACTAGATTCAACGTAGAACTTTGCACAAATGTGCACCAGTTCCAGTTGCCGATTTCCACTTCATGTAGCACACAAAGCAGGATAAGAGAGTGAAGTGAGGTGATAAACTGAAATGTGAGGCGAAAAGAATAGTAATATGAGAGAACAATGGAATTTTACTGGATATTATAAATCACAAAGAGTGAGAGAATGCATCTGCACCAACCGTTGAGAACGAATTTTAGCCACCACACCACACTTTCAGCACTTCCAACTTGACTGACTGGTGGACGTCTGAAAAACCCTAATTCCAAACCTACGGTGGTGTAGGTGGTCTGAATCCTGAATCCGAACGAATCAGATGGTGTATGAACCTGTTTTGTTCACTGGAAATCTTGGGGAGGCAGCTGCTGACACTGCTCCTACTACTTTATAGATGACACTTTAAGTGATCGGCTCGGAAGTGGCTGCTTAAGGCAACCGTCTACTTCGATCTGAGTGTCAAGGCAGTAAGTATTCCAGCCCTTGCACAAACTGAAATTTTGTGTGGTGCGTTTTGTTGGTACCCATAATGTATCGAGTTTGTATTTTACTAAGTCGCGTCGTCCTGGGGAGAATAAAAACTGCACTAGAGGTAGGACACCGCCCTCCAGAACGAACTGGATTCAGCAAAGGTAAGTCATGTGCTGATCAAATTGCAACTCTACACGTCATCATCACAAAACAAAGCATAGAATAACTTCATCAACTTCGAAAATGCCTTCAACAGACGGTGTTGACCGGGGAGTAATTTGGAAGCTGCTTCGAAACTACGATGTGCAATGCCCAAATCTTTATCAACCTCATTCAACGTTTGGCTATATGACAATGTTTGCCACGTTTCAGGTGATCTGCAGTGGGAAACTCAGCGAGGCATTCGAAGCGAATACAGTGGTAAGACAAGACTGCCCACCTACTATCACCGATGATATTCTTTATTCTTGTGGACTAGATTATGCGTCAGACTATGCGTTGGAAGCGAGTAGACGAGAATGTGTTGGACCGACTATAAAACTTCAGTATATCTGGATTTCGCAGATGATATACGTCCAATGTCACACATACTCAAAGACTCGCAGATGAAAACCAACAAACTGGTTGAAGAAGCAAGCAACTAAGACATTACTCCAGGTGAACATAGAAAAGACGGACGTAGTGAAGATAACCAACGAACCGTAACAATAGCAACAACCAGCACCAATCACCATCAGCAGGAGAGATTTTACACAGGTCGCTTCCTTCACTTGTATAGGAAGCATGGTTTCAACTACAGGCCGGTGGAACGAATGTCTGTCTGTCTGGATTCGACATAGAACTTGGCACCGAAGTGCAGCAGTTCGAGTTGCCACGTTCCAAATACCACACAAAGGTAGACAAGAAAATGAGTGAAGAGAATCAATAGAGTTTTGACAAGTATAAGAGTGAAACAGAATGAGTAATGGTAGAAAGGAATATGAAAGATTACAGAGACTGAATACATCTGCGTAAGCCATTGACAACTATTTTGAGCCATGTCACCTATTGTCTCCAGCCATTTTTGATTCTTAGAGTCCCGAAGGTGGGCCCCAACCCGGAAGTCTGCATCTCCCTACCTGACTCAGTTTAACTGTCAGGGATTTCATGGATTGATGAGGCCATGTTTTTGTTTGGCCACCACTTACTCTTTTCCAACCTGCACGTATATCAGCTAGTAATGCCCGTCCGTTGGGGGAGGCGATGGTTAGGCATGTGCAGCACGTGACCTAGCCATCTCAATCTATGTAACTTTATAGCCTCGTCGATTGATTTTCCCTCTTTGCCCAACACTCTACGCCTAACGTCAACATTACTTACCTTATTATACCAGCTAACGTGAGAAAGAGATCGTAGACATCTATGATCAAAAGCAGTCAACCTTCTCATGTCTTCAACTCGTATTGGCCATGTTTCAGAGCCATAGAGAAGGACGGAGCGAACTGCTGAGCAGTACACACGTCCCTTGGTTGATAGCCGGATGTCACGCCTACGCCAGAGACGGCGTAAGTTAGCGAAAGCAGCTCGAGCTTTTGGGATCCGTGCTGAGATTTCGTCACCAATCAATCCGTTGGTGCTGATACAACTTCCCAAATAGGTGAATTGGTCAACATGTTCTATCACTTCACGCCCTATCACTAAGCTGGGAGTTGACGTAGTCCAGTCCTGTAGCAGCATCTTACATTTTACAGGGGCGAATCGCATACCAAACATACGAAGATTGCTGCTCAAGGTGTTCAGAAGGCTCTGCATTTTGTCGGCATCCTCCCCTAACAGGACTATGTCATCTGCGTATTCTAAGTCCACGAATGAAGGTGTCAAAACCAGAGAAGATAGGAAATGGAAGATACGCCTTCGTCAATCTGAAACCAGCATAAAGAGCAATATTCGAATTTTCAGCACTAATGTTGAGTTAGTTTACTTCTTCTATGTGGGTCAGAAACTTGGTCAACGCGTCGCGTCGAGCATTTTCAACAGGCTACTGTGGACTTTCATCAACAGCTGCCCACTTCGATGGCTCCATATTGATGATCAAATGGCCGGTTGACCAGAAAGCATAAGCAACAAGAAACTATGGGAACAAACTAACCAAGAATCTGTCGTCCAACGAATATGTCGACAAAATTGAAGATGTATTGGACAAAAACTGAGGAGATTGTCGAATGACATCGCGTGCAGTGCAGGCCAGTGCTCGAGTGGAATCCCATTGGAAAGCAACGAGTGGGTCGTCGATGCGAGGGTGGCATGAAAGAGATCGTGAGGAGAGGAGATGAGAGATTATGGGCAGTCATGGTTCTAACTGTGAAATGGAGAACAGAAAGCAGAACAAAGTGAAGATGTGTTGTTCCACTTGGAACCCGAAGGAACAATAGTAATATATTACATTTTCTAAAAGGATCCGGAGTATATAAAGTCTTTCTTAGATATAATAGAGAAGATTTGTAGCTCAGGTGGATGATTTTGGTGTGGTTGTGTTCTCTGAGCTGGATGGTTTGGTTGCGAAGCTTTCATTGCTCTACTGAGCAATATCTTCAGCGCATACTTCGATGTGAAGTGAGCTTTTAGAATTCTCTATGAGTTTATTAGTCATCTCTTCTAGTAACCTTGAACGTGATTGGTTGTTTTCGTGTGACATTTCACCCCCTAGTTTGCTTGTCTCGGTGCTGGCTGCTTCTTTGGTCTGAATGTCGTTAGTCATTCCTTCTGCTAACCTTGAACGTGATTGGTTATTTTTGTGTGACTTCTCACTTTCTAGTTCACTTGTTTTGGTGTTGACTGTTTCCTTGACCTGAAGTTTGACTTTGTTTTTGTGTGAATTTCTTCGTATGGATTAGTATATTTTGTCAATCTCTATGTGTCTATTGATTGCTGATTCATTTGAATACCAGGCCTCTAGGAATTCTCTGGCATTTTTGCAGTTCCCTTTGTCTAAGATTTGAACATTGTCCCAGTCGAATTGGTGCCCGTGGTTGTCTGCATGTAGTGATATGAGGGAGTGTATGTCGTGTCTTTTGACAGCTAGTTTGTGTTCGTGAATGCGAAGACGAAGAGGGCGTCCACTTTGACCAATGTAATGTTTGTCGCAGTCGTTGCAACTTATCTTGTAGATGACGTTAGTTTTGTCTTCTTTTGCCGTTGAGTCCTTTGGTTTACATAGAACTGAGTGTAGTGACTTTGTTGGTTTATGAGCGACATCGATTCCAAAAGGTTTAAACCAATCACGTTCAAGGTTAGCAGAAGGAATGACTAACGACATTCAGACCAAAGAAGCAGCCAGCACCGAGACAAGCAAACTAAGGCGTGAAATGTCACACGAAAACAACCAATCACGTTCAGGGTTACTAGAAGAGATGACTCATAAACTCATAGAGAATTCTAAAAGCTCACTTCACATCGAAGTATGCGCTGAAGATATTGCTCAGTAGAGCAATGAAAGCTTCGCAACCAAACCATCCAGCTCAGAGAACACATAAAAGTCTTTCTTTCCTAATTCTGTTTTTCTTTCGACCATACATTTTGATTCGGTTGTTTTTGATGTTTGTTTTTTCCTACCCCCCCCCCTCGTCCTTAGATCCCTGCTCCATTGAATCCATCAAAAGAGGCTGCTAAAGCTGAACGTGAACGAGAACGTGCTAAACGCCAGAAACAACGACAAAAAGAGAAACGTGCAGCTGAACGTGCCTTAGCTGAACAACGAGAGAAAGAGGCTGCTGAACAAGCTCGTTTCTTAGCCTTATCAGATAGAGAGAAGGTAAAAAAGGAAAAAAAAATCTTTTATGACTTTTTCGAATTTTTAAAAGTTTTAAGAAATTGTAAATTTATTCAACGATGAGAAGTGTCAACGGTCGGTTGCCTGATACAAGAATGCAGAAACACTAATCAATATTTTCAAGAGTTGATTAGTGGGGTGTTTGATTTGCTTTTCAAATTTGACAATGGATTAATATGAGTTAAAGAACCATTAAAAGCCAGTAGGAAGTACTGGACAGTCAGCCATTTCGTCCTAGTTTTGGACTCATCATCTGTACTCACCCACTGCTAGGGTTCGAATCCAAGATCTTCAGGTTACAAGTCAAGCTCGTAGATCATTCAACCACAGGGAACTCGATTCAGTGGCCAGCTTATGAATTCTCGCTTCTACCACTTCGTGATTTTAGCGCATACCTGGTAGGTGCGTACTGTCCATGACTCTCAAACTAGGACGAGACATCTGGCTGTCCAGTACTCCCTGTTGCACCTGGTTTTCAAGGGTTCTTTGATTGACATCACTCAGTGATCAAACTTCAAAAACTAGTGAATATTCTTTCAATACAGCGAAAAACAACAGTGGTTTGTGCACAATAAGATAGTACCATCACTGGTTATTTCATTGGCATCTCATCAGCTGCATACAGCCGAAAGAAATTCATTAATTACGTTTATATACAGGACAAATTTAAACATACTTCCAAATGATTTACATGATGTCAGTTAACAACATGCTCCAGGCGTCATGAATAGTGTCCAAAATATTACACTTAAATAGTTTATAACAAGGGCATTCAAAATCAGACAGAAATAAATGCTGGCTTACAGTGGTAAAGGAGTTACGTAATCAACAAAGGAGGTGAGTAAGATGATGAGTGACTCATAAATTGAGTAACAGTATACCAAGTTCAACTCACTGAAACAAGAGATAAGCAGTCATACTGTATCCAAGGGGGAGGAGAACAAGCTGAATAGGAATATTACCTAATAAGATAAAAAGGAGAGTAAAGACATTGGCGGTGAGGAAAGACTGATAACTGCTTCGTTCTGAACACATAAATCGGCGTTGGAGTCGTTTGACAGAGATTGCTTCAGCAAACTTGAGGAGAATTGAACTATCTTGCCTGTTGATAATTTTAGAGGATTTCGTGATGTGCACCGGATGATCTGTATTCATGAGATGCCTAACAATTGCACTATGGAAAGCTCTTGTTCCTTTGAGATGTAGGGTTTTCGGTACATGTTGAGAAAATTAGAGGTATTCCCTTCTTTCTGTTCCCTCGATGTAACTGCTTCCGCAGACACATGTGAATTTGTATGCACAGTCAGAGTTAACATGAGAACGGTGAGTATCTTTTCGTATTAGATAATTGGAGGCAATCGGCAGGATTTCTTGTCCGACCTAGATTTCGTGCTAGTTGGCACTTAACAGTCAGTCAGTAAGGCGTATCTGCAACGTTGAAGGAGCCCATGCTCATTCTGAGATTCGAACCTGCGTCATCCAGTGCTGTAGTCAGAGACGGAGACGTTACTACTGAGCTATTTAGTCTCGCAACTGATCTCTTTTTGGAATGTGTGAGATACTTTGTTTGAACAGTTGGTAATAACTGATGTCATGAACCTACTCCTTCGTTCGGTGTAGATTGAATCCTATGAGGAGGGACATGATTTCCATCAAGACTGTCCGTTAAGTGCTCCTGATTAGTATAGTTTTCATGATCCTTTTCGGCAATTATTCTGCTTTTCCATATCCTGAGTTTCTCCAATTTTCTCTGTTACTCATCTCTTGGTGTCCATATTATACCAATTTTGTTTTCTAATGTAACAATAGTAATAATAAGTCGGGTGAACTGCAGATGAGTTTGCTGGCAAACTTTAGAAACTGTCATCCTTCGTTTAAATTCTCTTCGATCTAACTAGTAAATTACTACTAATTGACGTGAGTATTTTTTAACTACTCATATTGTCATTCAGTAGTGTGTAATATCTCGCTAATTTTTTTTTCTCTTTTTGTTTTCACTATTATAAATACTAACTACTAGCGTGCTTTAGCAGCAGAACGTCGTTTGAACTCTGCTAGAACAGCAGCAGGTGAAACGCCTATGGTTTTCAGGTAATTTTAATATATTTATATCAATGACAATTTTGTTTGTTTGTTTTATTTTTTATTTTTATTAGTATTTTATTACTTATCAACTTTTAATTGATTTAGATGATATGTACCAATTACAGCACATGAATCGCGAGGGATACCCGACAGTTGGCAATCTACACTGTCACACGTATCTTTAAAAGTAACTCTTATAAATCAAAGTAAGTTTCAAATCGATTAGAGAGTCATGGGAAACTATGGAGCACTGTACAGCTGTTTCGTCCTAGTTTTGGGCTCTTCGGCAATATGCACAGAGGTTATTGAATCGCAATCCATTTGGTGAATTGTCAACTCATTGACGTCACCACGTGAAGTTACTGGATTAAACTCATGATAGGTGGTGTATGGTCGAGTGCACACTGCTGAAGAGTCTTGAATTAGGACGCATCAGTTTTTTTTTCCAGTGTATAAAATGCGAATATATGTATGAAGTTTAATAGTGAACCGTTCTACTTTTCCACTCTACGGGATCTTCAAATGATCCGGTGTGTTAAACTTATGTGCGCCATCTGATAGATGATGGAGTTATACTTGCAGTCTATCGGTCAGTTGCAGTCTGACCATGTTAAACAAATTTTTTATTGTTGTCCTAATAAAAGCATAATCACTTTGGATTTCTTCTGGAGATGTCTTCCTGAACGCATCTTTGAATAAGCCTTGTTCATAGAAAGCATTAGAAATGCACTTAGCCTTAATATTTTATGAGTTGATTATGCCAACCAACTAACACCAAATCGAACTGTAAACTGGAGTGTGAAATGACCGCAAACGTAACCAGTCAGAAATAGTAGACATTCATCACTAAGCATTCCCCCACAGTACCTCTCGATTGACAGAGTCGAAATGCCACCATTGGGCGAAGAAATATAGAAATGTTCAAGATTTTGATCACGAATCGATATCAGTTCAAGAAGTATTGAAAACTAGTAGGGTGTACTGGATAGCTGTTTCGTCCTAGTCTGGGACTCATCTCAGAATTCATGGACCACTGAGTCGGGTGCCAGTTTGTCTTGTAACCGTAAGGTCCTGGGTTCGAGACATGGTATGTGTGTGTGCCGCGGATGAGTTCCATACTAGGACGAAATAGCTTACTGTCCAGTAGCACTTCCTGTGGCTGGTTATCAATGATTCTCAAACTGAACTCATTTATCCGTGATGAAAACCTTCAAACCAATCAAATCGCTACAAATAAACTCTTGAAAAGTATGGAAATTACTGGACGTCAGTTCTAGGATCTATTGAAGGGTGAAATTACTATTACATTTTCTATAGTTTGGTTTGTAAGGGTTGGTTATGTTTTACGAGTTGATCACGGACTGATATCAGTTAGAAAACCATTGAAAACCAGGGAGTACTGGACAGCTGTTTCATCCTAGTTTGGGAATCATCGGCAGTACTCACTCATCGCCAGGGTTCGAACCCAGGACCTTCCGGTTACAAGGGAAGCTCGTATACCATTCAGCCACTGAGACCCGATTCAATGGCCTGTCCATGAATTCTAACTTCTACCAATTTGTGATTTAGCGTGACCCCGTACTGCCGATGATTCCCAACCTACTAGGATGAAACAGCTGCTGTCCAGTACTCCCTGGTTTTCAACGGTTCTCTAACTGATATCAGTCCGTGATCAACTATTACATTTTCCAAGTTCTACACAACACACACAAATATTTAATATTCGCTTCTCTTCTGTGTTTCTTTTCTAGTCGTTGCTTTCAATGCGCTTGTGATATCACCGGTAAGGTGCCGTTCACTTATATGGATTATAATTTTTGTACACCAACTTGTTTGAAACAACATCGCCTATCATCATCGTCGACATCTACGCCGACTGCATCAACAACAACTCATCGTCCAAATCTGACTACTGCTAAATGACATAGATGAATGACACCTCTTCTCCCCCCCTTGTTTTCTTCGTTCCTTTTCCCATGATTATCTTTTTATATTCAAAATTTCAGATGAAATGCTTAAGAAGAAGAAGAAAATAACAGAATTAATTGTACTACTTAATTAATCTCTTATTATTACTACTACTATTATTATGTATGACGTAATAGTGTTATTTCATCTTTGTGAATGAAGTGTATGTACGTATGCATGTGTATATGTATGTCTAAGTGGATATATTTTCAGTTAATTTGATGATACCCCGCTAACGCCCACGCCCCCGCCCCCGCCCCCATCCAGTGCTAACCCTCGCCTATTATCTCCATCAATATTATGTAATTTAATGTATGCAGAGCCTCAGTCACTTTGTGTGTGTGTGTGTATTCTCGCCTATGCCTTACTCGACCAACCAACGGGTTGAATTTTTGATTTTATTTTGTTTGGAGGAGATAAAGCATCTTTGAAAGAACATGGAGAGACAGTCATGCTTTATTTGTCTTTCATTGGCTTTTTTGTTATACCCTTCCTTCTCCACCTTCCCTGGATGTTTCTTTTTGTAATAAGCATTTATAAATGACAAAAAAGGGAACAATAATAATAATAATGCAGTAAAGAGTGTTTTTGATCTTCTTTTTGTGTACACCGGGATTAGTCAGTTAGCTATCATAGTTCAGTATGTGTTAGATGTTCGGAAGAGCCAGTGCCAATCACCATCAACCGGGGGAGGGATTTGAAAGGGGTTACTTCATTCACTTCACTTATCTAGGGAGCATTGTCTCAACTACAGGAGAAACGGACGAGGATGTCCAATAGAGAATCAGGAAGGCGACAAAAACACATTCATCAACCTGAAACCAATCTGGAAATCTTCGTCACTCAGCATCAACAACAAAGTGATTCGGATTTTCAATACAAACGTCAAGTCAGTCAGTTCTTCTATACGGATGGATCAGAAACTTGGCAGATCACAAAGAATATTTCCAACAGCCTGTTGCAGACCTTTATCAACAACTGTCTTCGCTGGCTCTATACTGAAGATCAGATGGCCGCCGGAAAGACTCACCAACAAGAAACTATGGGAACAAACAAACAAAACAAGAACCAATCGCCCAACAAATATGCGGGAGAAAGTGGAGATGGACTGGGCAGTCGCTGAGGAGGCCGCTGGGTGACATCGCGCGTCAGGCCATTGCTCGTGTGGAACTCGAAAGGGAAGCGGCGAGTGGAACGTCCAAGAGTGACATGGGGGAGATCGTGTGAAGAGGAGTTGGAACAGTATGGACTAACATGGATGCAGGTGAAAAGTACAGCAGAAGCCAGAAGCAAGTGGAGATGTGCAGTTGAAGCCCTATGTTCCACTAGGAACCCAAGGGAACAATAATAATAAAATAATAAAGAGGCAGTTGATAGGAAGCCTTGGGGGACACCTACGTGCCTAGTTTTCGTACTTGTTGACACTTGTTAGTAAGCAAGGCATATCGACAATCTTAAATTCAAATATTTATGTCCTTTCTTAGATGTGGACCCGGGTTATCATCTAGTGCAGTGTTGCAGTCATAGACGGTTATCGCTGAGTTGTTTGGACTGTTCAAGTCAGTGACGAGGTCGAATAGCTTATTCTTCAGAAAACTGACCAGTTAATACAACATCCACAGGAAAAACAGGGATTACTGGACAGCTGGTTCATCCTAATTTGGGATATGGGACCTTTCGGTTACAAGGCAAACACGTTGACTATGCAGCCACTGGGACCCGATTCCGTGGCTCATGAATTCCAACTTCTATCGATTCGTGATTTCAACGCGACCATCGCCCATTGCTATCGTTGGGTTAGTATTTGTCCTCACTCGTGACTGGGTGAAACCCACTGCTCACAACTTCCCACGCGAACTTCAGGCAGCTGCATCCTGTAGCCAGTCAACTAGCGAGTATCAGATTCATTGGTCGTTGGATAGGTTCACAGTGGATGCATGGTCTACAAGCTTGCTCTGTAACGGGTTAGGTCTTAGTTTCGAACCTCGGTGGGTGCATACTGATGAAGAGTCTCAAACTAGGATGAAGTAGCTCTCTAGTACTCCCTGGTTTTCCAGTGGTTCCTTAACTGACGTCAGCTCGTGATCGCCACGTAGTTTGGTGAGAGCTGTCTGCAAGACGAAATTGTAAACAACTACTGACGTCAATGTTTACATCCCAAATCGGGGTCATGAGAAAAAACAAAGCCTAACCTCAAGGAACTCAACAACCAATCACAGCAGACTTAGCGTGGGTGGATACGATTCACAGATATATCACCGGACTATCTAAGAAACGGCAACAAAAAGATGACAGAATAACCTTCAGCAGGAAAACAACCATTCAGAAGACGTTGCTTCTCTGCTAACAAGAATGCTAATAATAATGTACATAAAAATCTATAAATATCTCTTGATTTTCTCAATAAAGGATCTGTCGCCTAGCCCTTGTCTTCTGTTGTTACAGTACTCCTGTAATTAAATAACGTTTTACCTTATACTATAACCAGTCACTTAAATGTTGGGAGTAATAGTTAGTGGGATTATTATTATTATTGTATCCTTTAATTCCTAGAGGAACATAGGGATTCAGCCGTGCATCTCCATTGCGTTCGGTTCTCTGCTAGAGTCTTCACCTGGCTCCATGTCTGCCCACACGTTTTCATCTCCTCTTCACATGACCTCCTCCAAGTCACCCTCGCACTGACGACCAACTCGCCGCTTCCCTTTCGGGTTCCACTCGAGCAATGGCATGTCTAGTGATGTCACTTGATGGTTTGTTTTCTCAGAGTATGGCCAATCCATCTCCATTTCTTCCTGCATATTTGTTTCACAATCGGTTCCTGGTTGGTTCGCTCATTGCCAGAGATCCCTGTTGCTGATCATTTCTGACCGGCCATCTGATCTTGAGTATTGAGCAAAGACAACTGTTAAAGAAGGTCTGTAGTTTGTTTGAGATGCTCTTTATGACGCGCCAAGTCTCTGATCCGTATAGTAGCACTGACTTCACATTGGAGTTGAAATTCCGGATCTTATTCTTTATGCTGAGTTCTGTTGACCTCCAAACAGACTAAAGAGTGATGAAAGCTTGTCTTGCTTTCTCAATCTTTGCTTTGATATCCTCTTCAGTTCCATCCGCCTGTAGTTGAAACGATGCTTCCCAGGTCGGTAGGTAAAAGAGGTTGTTTCTTTCAGGTTCCTCCCATTTATGCTGATTGTCAGTTGTTGTTGGTGGTGTTGCCCAGGAATCTTCATTACCTCTGTTTTCTCTATGTTCACCTGAAATCCTATCTTTGATGCTTCTTCTGCCAACTTGTTGCTTTTCGCTTGCAACCTGTAAACAAAGCTGCTACAGAAACTTCAGCACTACGAATTAGTGGGATATTTGTTGGTTAAGTTAGCAATAATTTATCATTGAATAGTCTTCTCTCCTAGTCCGTCCCCCCTGTTTGTTTTGGGAATTGTTCTGAATGTAATCTACTTTCTCACTAATCTCATCCAGAAGAATTAAATAGCGTGCGTTAAGTTGAGTCATTTTCCAAATGTTATACATTTTCAAAACTTTTCAAAAACATTTGGACGATATTTCAGTGAAATGTTTTGTCTGCTGTTTATACTATTCACGTACAACAAATTATGATTAGGTTTGGAGTAGTATGTAGGGCTTCATCAACACATTTCTATTGCTGCTGTGGAGCCAGGTACATCGGTCGTTCGACGAGCACACTCTCCAAGAAGATTCAAGAACACTATCCAGCACGGTTGCGAAAAGGCAATAGTGGTGCAATAAGGAGTGCGATAATTGAACACCTGATTAACACTGATCATTCCATCTCAACAACAAACGCCTCCTGCTTCAAAGTAATCTACAGAGTCAAGAATAACCTACCAAAAGCAATACGGTTTCATCTTCTTTTTATCACTGAAGCTCTGGCCATTCACATAGAAAAACCGGAGCTGTACATACAAAAGAGGATTACTCAACCACTTCTACTGTTATGGTAACAACTTTGTTGATTTTTGATGACTTAATTTCGTTTGTTTGTTTGCCTGTTTCTTTAATTGCTTATAATTCTTGTGTTCATTTACAACTCCTACGTAATTTCTCATTCTCTACTTTGCTTCTATGTGTATCCTGACTGAGTACAACTCACTCATCAAACTATTCATATTATTACATAACTTCTTTTCTAACAACTGTTTGTGACAACTCATCACCTTTGTTACTACCCTAATTTCATTAACACCCAATTTTCTTGACTGATTTTGTATTACGTAACTCCAATTACCAATCTTCACCTGTTTAGTTAAAATAACCATAACCAATTGTATTTTGTTTGACAAACTTAATGTACACATACATACAAAATAACATATATATATATATTTGCGATTGTCCAGGTAAGAAAATGAGTTCGCCGCCGAAAAGACACTCTTCGCTGAACTAGGTGTTTTGTTTTCATTTCTATTTCATCACCCTGTTCTCTGTGGTCATTCTAAGTCGGATTCAAAATTGATCATTAGCTTTGATTTCTTCCTCATACGATCTCTTCTGTGTCATACTCGGATCCATGTGCAACTCATCATTTCCGATTCAGCTTGCTTTCACTCAAGCAGTGGCCTGGTGCGTGATGTCACACAACAGTCTTTTCAACATGTATCCGATCCAACGCTTCCACGATGTCTAAAGACTTAAATGATGTCATTTCCAATGAACGGGAAATTCCCATATTGAATCATTAACTAAAGAAGAATATTCCCTTCTCGACGAATCATTTTCAAGAGGTGTACAATTGTATTTATATTTAACAAAGGATACATGAAACCAGTCAGATAGTGGCAACCGAGTTGAAGAAAACAAATTGCGTGATATGAGATGTGACGTAGAGAGAGGAAGCTAAGTGGAGGTTAGAATAATGGACGGAAGCTGGAATTACGTAATAATTGTGAAAATATCCATTTATATTGATTATTCAAGCTGTCATTACTCTCAAGTGTGTGTGGAGGTCAACAGATATACTCAGCATGTAAAATAAGATCCGGATTTTCAATTCCAATGTGAAGTCAGTGCTACTTTATGGATCAAAGACTTGGCGCATCATGAAGAACACCTCAAAGAAACTACAGACCTTCATCAACAGCTGTCTTCACTCAATACTCTATAACAGATGGCAAGAAAAAAATCAGCAACAGGGATCTCTGGGAGCAAACCAACCAGGGACCGATTGTGCAACAAATATGCAGGAAGAAATGGAGGTGGTTTGGCCATATTCTGAGAGAACCATCAAGTGACATCACACTACAGGCCATCGCTCAAGTGGAACCCGACCGAATGAGAAGTGGCGAGTTGGTCGTCAGTGAGACGGTGACATGGAGGAGGTAATGTGAAAAGGAGATGAGAGCATGTGGGTTGACATGGAGCCAGGTAAAAAAGTTGGCAAGGAAGCGAACGCAATGAAGACGTTTGGGTGAAGCCCTATGTTCCTCTGTGAACTAAAGGAAACAATAATAATAATTCGAATCTCCCCTCAGCCTCCTCCTCCTAGATCACACCTCACACTACGTAATACTATCCTTGGAACACATTTACCACCATCTGACTGGTTTCATGAATCTTTTGTTAAATATAAACACCACTGTAGAGATGTTAAAAATGTTTCGTCAAGAAGGGAATTCGCTTCCTTAGTTTATGATTCAAAATGGGAAAATCCCGTTCACTGGAACGACATCATGGAAGCGTCCATGTTCTGAGCCAACATATAGACGGAGACGGCGCATTTTCGTGGGACATAGTTAATCATAGGGAAATACAGATGAATTTTCGAGTATTGGTTTTGTAGGGATATTGTTTGATTTTGTTAGAAGATTTCATCATGAGGTGACATCAGTTAGAGAACCATTGGAAAATCACACCAGGGAGTACAGCAAGATGCTTCGTCCTAGTTTGGGACTCTTCATCAGTACGCACCCACCGGGATTCGAACCTAGGACCTTCTGGTTATAAGGTTAGCGAGCTCGTAGACCACTTAGCCACTGGGACCCGGTCCAAATGGCCAGCCCATGAATTCTAACTTCTGCCGATTCATGACATATCGCGACCATTTTGCAATGTCTTTTTCGATGATTTACTGCCTCATCTTCAACCTTTTGTACTCTACTGGTCAAGCCTTGAAACCAGAAGGTCCTAATGGTGTCCGACAAGCATGCTCACTATCCCCATTTCTATCAATTTCATCATATATGTACTAATGGACTTAATCCTAACGCACTTCAGAGACTCAGGGATTGACTTGTTATCAGGGAATAAGTTCGTTGACTAAAAATATGCAGGTGATATAGTCCTGTCTCCTAGGTGAAGACGCTGACAAAGCGCAGAGTCTTCTGAACACCTTGAGCTGCAATCAGAATGTTTGGTATGTGATTCGCTGCCGCCAAATGTAAGGTGATGCTACAGGACTGTGCTGGACTACACTGACTCCTAGCTTAGAAATAGGGAGGGAAGTGGTAGAGCGTGTTGGCGACCTCACTTATTTTGGAAGTTGCATCAACTCCGTTAGTGAGTTGATTGGTGACGAAACCTCAGCACGGATACAGAAGGCTCGATTCGGATATGCCAGTTTGCGCCGTCTCTGGCTTAGTAGACGTGATATCTGGTTGGCTATCGACCAAAGGACGTGTGTACTGCTCAGCAGTTCTCTCTGTCCTCCTTTATGACTGTGAGACATGGCCATTGACAGTGGAAGATATGAAAATGCCAGCTAGCTGTCTTTGATCATAGGTGTCTGCGTTCTACCTCCGTGTGTGCTAAGTAGTATAATAGGATGAGCAATAATGAGGTTAGGCATCGGTTGAGTGCTAGGTAATGAGGGGAATTCAATCGACGAGACTGTGAAGTTACATCGACTGAAATGGTTAGGACACGTGTTACGCATGCCTAGCCATCGCCTTCCTCAACAACGGGCAATGTTAGCTGACATAGAGTCAGGTTGGAGTGTAGCGACTGGGACTGCTGCACATCGGTGCAAAGTTTTATGTTGAAACCAGTCAGTCAGTCAGAAGGTCCTAGGTTCGAACCCTGTCCGTGGTGTGGTTGCATACTTCCGAAGAGTCGCAAACTAGGCTGACGAAACAGCTGGCTGTCCAGTACTCACTCCCTGTGGCTGGTTTTCCAATGGCTATCTAACTGATTTCACCTCATAATGAAATCCTCCAACAAATACAGACGAACTAAGACACAATCGTTTGGAGATATTTTAAAAGACACTTTGGAAATTACAAATGATATATTTTTATTTTATGCTCATGAAAGTAAAATATAAAGGAATAAGTTGAGGGAGGAAAATTGAAATACGTGAACATACACATTTAATCTGTTTACAATAAAGCTTAGCTTGCTTCCCCTTTTTTATTATTATTTAGCTACTGGTAAGCGTAATAGCTTATAACACATGAGATAATTGTATGAATTACACTTGGCATAACTGATTTTTATCTCTCCAGTTTTATAATCAAATGACCATACAAGACCATATTTCATAGGGGAACTAGACGTCCAGTCGTCGCATCCAAAGTTTACTCCACCTCCAAGCCAAAATGTTCTGCTGTAAATATAAAGAGAGTATATATATATACATATATATATATATATATATATATATATTCATCAATATTTATTGTATTATATATATAATGAAAATCAATTAATCAACGGAGACATTCTTATCTATTGATTAGTTGTTAGGGAGTAAGTAATGTCGTGTATGCAGTCCTTGGTGTCGATGTTGGCTTGCTTTTCATGTCTTCCATTTTTAATGACCATATCTCACAGCCATAAGGGAGGACGAAGCGAATTACTGCACGTCCTTTGATCCATAACCAGCCGGATATCACGTCTACGCCAGAGAGGATGCCGGTCGGCAAACGCCACATGAGTTTTTGTAGTCATGCTGAGATTTAGTCAGCAATTAGTCTGATTTATTGGAGGATTTCATGATGAGATGATGTCAGTTAGAGAACCATTGGGAAACCAGCACTGGAGTACTGGACAGCTGTTTGCTACATCCTAGTTTGGGACTCTTCAGTACTACGCATCCCCCCACCAGAGTTTGAACCCAGGACCTTCTGGTTACAAGGTTAGCGAGCTCGTAGACCATTAAGCCACTGGGTCCCTCCTAATCCAGTTGCTAGCCCATGAATTCTAACTTCTGCCAGCCAATTCATGATATAGCGCGACCACTTCGCAATATCTTCTTCATTGAGTTACTGCCTCATCTTCAACCTGCTGTACTCTACTGGTCACGGCCTCACAATAGAACCGGCCCAGGTGACTGCCTGATTAGGGCCAGTCTCTAGTGTGCATCAGATCAGTCTTCACGTATTGGTTTTGTAGGGATTTTGTCTGATTGGTTAAAGCTGACCCAAGTTCCCAAATAAGTGAAGTGGTCAACACGCTCTACCATTTCACTACTAACTATCTTTAGGCAAGGAGTCAATGTAGTCCAGTTCTGCAGCAAATCGCCTATCAAACATTCTAAGGTTTCTACTCAAGGCACTGCATATTTTAAGTCAACAAGACTGTTCCCTGGTGATAAGTCAATACCAAACCCTCTGAATTCAGTTAGGCTTAATTCCATTGGTACGTCTAAGATGAAATTCGATAAAAATGGGGGTAGTTGGCATCCTAACCTGATGGACGCCACTGGCTTTCATCACTTTAGATGACAACTCTCCATAGGCTTCTACATGGCTTTATGAGTTAGATTAGAGTGCCTTGATTAGTGCAACAGACTTTCATGGCATTCGCATCACAGCCAAACATTGCCCTACAACACCTCTAGATGGATAGTGTCAAATGCCGCCTGTAGGTCATGAACTCTGAATAGTGTTGGCCATCAGAATGTATGTCTATGTTCGAGAATTGTTGAATGTGGTAAAGATAGCATCAATACATCGTCTTCCTGGCTTAAAGCCCGCCAGGTTTTCTCGGGTTTGTCCTTTCTGAGCATCACTCAGTCTACGCTTGATTGTTGAACCTAGAACCTCATATATTGTATTATTTAAGTTTATCCCCCTGTAATTATCGCAAGGATAATCAATGACTCACACCAGTCCAATGGAACTATCCCTGATTCTCAGACATTATCAAATATCTTAGTTAACACAACAGTTCATCACCACCGAACCTAAAAATCTCTGGAAACATCCCATCGGGTCCTGCTGCTTTGCATCTTATCACATATAGGCACCCTCCGTAACCTCAATTACAGATAGAGGACCGTTCTCTACATCCCGGTCAAGTAGGTGTTAGATACTGGGCAACTTCAGCGTGGCTGTAGGCAAGTTAAATTGCTCCTCAAAGTGTTCTTCCCAACATTCCAGTCGTTTCTCCTGAGAGCTTATTAGGGTGCCATTTTTCCCAGAGATTGTTTCACTTATCATTTCCCTTTCATAGCCGGTGACCCTAATAAGCCTAAATAGTCGTCTGATGTTATCCCTCGCCGAAGCCTTTTCTATCTCTTTCGTTTTAATCGTCCACTACTATTCGTGGCCGTTGTGGGGACCTTTAGTCAGATTGATTTTGAGCAGTTTTCGCTCCTCATCATGTTTGGAATCAGTCGGCGTCCGCGATTTCGCGTAGTTAGCAATGAAAATTCTTTTGATCAATTATTTTCCAGAATTAAGGCATTCATTTCGTGTTACCGCTTGCTGCTGGTTGATTGTAAAAAGTCTCTATATGGCATAACTGTACCCAGATAATCTTTCAGTGGTAAGTATCAGAACCGATGTTCTTAGTTTTGTGCTAATCTCCTCCGGATATCTGTCGTGTGTGCTGCTCAAAAATAGATTTAAGCAGTATATTTGGCAACATCTTCCCAGAAGAATTGTCAGCGGTTTTGACAAATCTGGGGAGAATCTAATAAGCAATAGGCAACATTATATACAGCATGCCCCCCCCTAGAGAATGGCTGATAATATTTCCAAATAATGAAGTTGCCAAGCCCCAGGCCCTCGAGCGCAAACCCTAGTGGTAAACGACGAGTCCTGTCTTCATCAACCTCTTTCTCTTTACACCACAAATTTAAATGGTAAGATGACATAACTAACTAATATAGGGAGGTTAAAGAATGCAATGCAAAAATAAGATAAGGATTTAATATGATGCGTTTTGTCACACTTACTTTGCAGAATTTTGAACATCAGGCATCCCATTTAAATCGTAGAATGGTACATTTATATTTGAACGAACACCATAGAGGAAATCTCGCCATTTAGGAAATATTGTTTGACTCTATGAAACAGTGATGGTATGAAGTCATTCATAAACATGAAGGACTCTTATTTATTAAATAAGAAAAACATTTTTATGAATAAGCGTGGAAAACGTCTTTTATTTTCAGTTCTACTCCCCCGCGACTGGTGTTTCACTTGCCACATTAATTATCTATCGACAAATTAATGTTTCAGTGTCAAGCTAGGCGTCATTTTCAGTCTATTGCAAGCTTACTATTGCATGTAGAATCATCCATAAGATCTGCGATAGTTTAAGCCACTTGTTAGGGAATAAGTTAATTGGAACCCCCAGGAAATCAGTTTCTTAAAGCCTTATGGTCCACTCAGAACTCATTGAAACGAATTTGGATGAAGATAAATGTGTGCAGCTTACGTCATAAAATTTCTGCTGGTATTTCTATTTGGTTGGTTGTCCAAAGCATCTCGAAGATCAGCCGTCGTCTCGACACTGTGGTAGAACTTGCCTATCGGAGTGTTATTATTATTATTATCTCCTTTAGTTCCTAGAGGAACATACGGCTTCAGCCATGCACGTCTCCATTGCGTTCTCTTCTCTGCCAACGTTTTCATCACCTGGTTTCACGTCTGCCCACATGCTTTCATCTCCTACTCGCATCGCCTCCTCCATGTCATCCTCGCACTGATGACCAACTCGCCACTTCCCATTCTGTCGGGTTTCCACCCGAGCGATGGCTTGTCGTGTGATGTCACTTGATGATGGTTTGGTTTCTCAGAATATGACCAATCCACCTCCATTTCTTCCTGCATATTTGATGCACATTTGGTTCCTGCTGGGTTGGTTCATTCATTGGCAGAAATCCCTGTTGCTGATGTTTTCTGGCCGGCCATCTGATCTTGAGTAGAAGTGAGCAAAGACAACTGTTGATGAAGGTCTGTAGTTTGTTCGAAATGCCCCCCATGACGCGGTGTCAAGTCTCTGATCCGTATAGTAGCACTGACTTCACATTGGAGTTGAAAATCCGGATCTTATTTTCATTTTCACGCTGAGTGCTGCTACTTTCCACACAGACCTGATAAGAAGAGGTAAACTAGCTGGAACGATTATTCCTGAAAGCTTTTGTTACAATGGTAAGATTCCCCAATCACAGTAATACAAACAGTGGTAACACCTCGTTGAGGTTTCTACAGAATATTCTTTATGTTGAGGTTAGAAGCGTTTAATAAGAGTAAGGTTGGTAGCCTTTTCGAAGACTAGTGACCTTTCTATCCTAGCCTCGCGTTTTGTAGAGAACCTCCAACAAAAACCCCACCCTCAGGAGTTTTCAAGACACTTTCATAATCCAAGTTGTAGGGATATTATTTAGAAATCTGCAGTGTTATGGGATTTGGTCAAAATGAAACAAAATCTACCGAGAAGTAAATTTTGTTTACCAAACTAACTTCAGTCACATTAGGAGGGTGATAGTTCAAAGGTCAATGGGATCAAGCCTGTTAAGACCCAGATTTTCGCTGTCTACTTCACTTAGCAGTCTGATTTTGAATGGTCTAACCAAAATTGCTGCCTTCTGTCTCTGATTTAAATAAGTTGCTGAACTCAGTGGCATCGCATTGGTGTAGCATATTGTAAAAGGAAGCCATATGGTCGGAATTCCCTGAATCAAGATTTCGTGTTTGTCAGCATTCATCAGTAAACTGTAACTTCATTCTTGAAGAAACTTACATTCCTTCTGAAATCCGGAAACTTCACCAATAAGTCATAACTAACTCTGCCAATAACTCGATGATGTAAACAAATAGGTATCTAATGCAACTGTCTACTCACCTCTAAATTTATCACAGGAATATTTTGATATTGCCATTTTACAAGACGTTCAACTGGAAAATTTTTATCTACAAGAAATGCTTTAAATCGTGGAATTCCAAGACGATGCAAAGCAGTTTGATGGCAGTTAGTATCAGCACCATGCCAACCAGAGAAAGATCCGCCAGTAAATGGTATAGGATGAAATGCAAATACAATCTAAATTTTGAAGAAAAATAATAAATTGGAGGGAAATATTTTATTCTACTGACGATTCTAAATAGTAGTATAATGGAAAATTAAGAAAAAGCTTCTAATTACGATTGTAATTTCTAAGTGATCTATGCATTACTGAGGATCATGATGGGGCACTCTTGAATCTGGATCTACCGAATGTTTAGAGGCTGACTGTAGGACGCCAGAGATATGAGATTTGCACTTACGAGTATTGATGTCCACTTGAACTGGCGTCAACAAGTGTCTGTTGAATATACTGCAAACTTGGTCGATTGAATTCAGTTGGCATTGAGGACTTGACACATAATTCTGATTTCTCTTCACTAGCTGACTAATATAAATCCTGGATCTTTAATTTAAGTTAATAGAAAAGATTTGCAGCTTAGGTGGTTAATTTTGATGTGGTTGTGTCCCCTGTGGTAATAAACTAACACACTGATGAAACCGCCGAATAAAGTCGCTCGCCAAGCCACCGCTCGAGTGGGGCACGAATGGGAAACGACGAATGGGGCATGTGTACTTAGGTGATATGAAGGAAATAGTGAGAAGAGCAGATGAGAGATTATAGGCAATCATAGGCTCAGCTAAAGACGACAGCAAAACCCTACATCAACTGGTCGGTATACTCATCTTTTCAGCTTCGTGCCCTTGAAACACAAACGAAATCTGCTCGGTTCACAGAGCAAGGGCAGTCTGCTCGGATGAATTTCTTGATGAGGAACTTAATAATATTAAATGGCTGTTGAGTGAAAACGGTTAACCAGAAAAATTTACTGACAAGAATATGAATCTAAAATCAAAGCAGCTCAAGGCATCAGCAGTTCCTAAAAAGCCCTTATTCCTACAAATTAAGTTTCTTGGGAACAGAATCAGCGAGATACTAACACAACACCTTAGAAATTAGATAAAATTAACATTCCCTGCTGCCGAATTACTCTTTAACTTCAAATCCAATCCTCTTTTCTGTGTTTCTCGTTGGATTTCCGAACATCACCCTGTCTGGTTAAGTAAAGGATAAGCAAAATCCATTCGTAGCGCTATTCCATCTCCTCTTCTGGAAACAGAACACAAGATTGATGTCAAAGAGGATTTTAAAGTCATTTACCACATACCAACGAATCTCGATTTCACCTTAAGAGTTCGACTACTAAGTATTGCTGAGGCTGGCTGTTGGGATCCATATTAAGAAACCTAATTTATGTGTTCAAAAGAAGTTAGTTCAGACATTATTCTTACCTTCGCCATTAGGTTCTAATGATCCTCAATTTTTGTGTAAATTTCCCTAATTTAAGTCGATATTATATTTGCTATCATACTTTTGTTATTATTATAGTTTAAGCATCTTTCATGAACTGTAATTCCATTGTGATCTTACTTTACAAATCGATATTACTTAAAAAACACTAATATTGTTATTGGCTACTAATCTAGAATATTCTACGCATATAAACATATATTTGGCTGTAGAGCCAGAAGAGGAAATTATCGAAAAGGATATTCTGTGCTCGATTATTTTGTCTTTTATAGGAAAAAGAGAACAAAGTGGAGACGTGGAGAAAACCGTTATCAATGACTATCGAATTGTTTCGTTTTTAGGCTGAATATGATTCTTCAGCTCATTGATGGCTACTGCTTAGATGTTCTGAAGCTGTAATGTGCAGTCTTGAACAGTGAGGTCCATCATGTGTCAAGGTGATGTGGATGCTCTTCGAAGGTATTGGTGAGGGCAGCGCTATGTCACGCATGAGTTGGGAAAGTTAGAATTCACGGCCTATTGAATTCCGACCAAAATGGCAGAACTGTCAATGAGGTTGTCCTCGTAAACGGAAGATCCCGTATTCAATGCTTGGTGGGTTCATGGGTTGGCGGTACTGAAGAGTCCCAAAAATATAAGGAAACAGATGTTCACGGCTACCTCGTTTTCAGTGGTCTTTCTAACTGGTGTTGATTTGTGATCAAATGTAAAGATTAAAATTAAATTAATTCAGATCCTTACAAATTATTATTATTATTCCCTTGGGTTCCAAGTGGAAAACAGGGCTTCGACAGCACATCTCCATTCTGTTCTATTTTCCGCTCTTACTTTCAGCTGGCTACCTCTACGATTGCCCATGACCTCTCATCTCCTGCTCCTCAATTCACCATCTCCTCCATGTCACCCTCGCACTGACGACCCACTCGTCGATTCCCATTTGAATTCCACTCGAGTAATGGCCTGCACTGTGCGCGATATCATTCGACGGTCTCCTCAACGTATTCCCGATCCACCCCTATTTCCTTCTAAATATTTGTTGAGTGATCAGCTCTTAGTCGGTTCATCGCCAGTCAGAGTTTCTTGTTGCTAATTCTTTCCGACCAGCCATTTGATCCTCCGTATGAAGCCAGCGAAGTGGGCAGCTGTTGATAAATGTCTGTAACTTGTTGTAAATCCTTTTCGCTACACGCAGTACAAGGTTTTGACCAGTATAGAAGAACTGGCTTCATATTTGTTTTGAAAACCCCACCTTTTTTCTTCATGCTGGCTGAGTGACAGCAGAAAATGTCCCAGCTAGTTTCAGTTTGATAAAGGCGTATCTCGCCTTTCCGACTCTTTCCGGCTTTGACACCTTCGTCCGTTCCGACTTCCTGTGGTTGAATCCGTGCTGCCTATTATTCATCTCTGTCGCATCTCTCCTGCTGATGGAGACTGATGTTGGTTGTTGTTGCTGTTGGTTGGTTTGTTATCTTCAACACTTCCATCTTTTCTATGTTCACTTGGAGTCCTGTTTTCGCTGTCAGTCTCTTCAACCAGTTTTTTGGTTTTCGCCTTTGAGTCTTCGAGTTTATGTGTCATGAGACATATATCATCTGCGATATCCAAATCTTCTAGAGTCTTACAGTCGGCCCAACGCACAGTCTTCCTCATGATCCAGTCCACCGCAATTAGGAATATCATAGGTGAAAGTAGGCAGCCAGCCAGCTTGTCTTACTCCTTCCTGTATTTACTTCGAATGTCTCGCTGAGTTTTCCGTTGTGGATCTCCTGACATGTACAACTGCCATGTGACCAACTGTTGAATAAGGTTGATAAGGATTTAGGCACTGCATTTCGTAGTATTGAATCATTTGCCAAATTACTTCTCGACCAACGCTGCGCTGTTGAAAGCCTTTTCGAAGTTGATGAAGTTATTGTAGCGGTTTGATTGCGATTGTATGCTCTGTTCAATAATGATGCGTAGAATCGCAATTGAATGAGCACACGATTCACTTTTCCTGAATCCAGCCTGTTCAGCTGGGCGGAGTTCTGCATCCAGTGCATCCTTTATTCTCTCTGGGATGATGCGACTTATCATTTTACTTGGCGGTTGTAATTTTTAAGTGATCTGTGCACGATCGAGCGCCATGACAGAATATTATAAATTCTAGGTTTACTGTATGGTTAAAGACGGTCGCCAGGCTACCAGAGACCTCATTTCTGTTCTTATTGCTTCCGGTGTCTCCTAGCAGACTCGGCCTCGCGTCAGTGAGTTTTCATTGAACATAGTGCAGACTTCAATGGTAGATTACAGTGGACAAAAAGGATTCAACACACTATATTGGATTATCCCAAATGTCCCATCAATATTAGGTCTGCAGTTGGAAACAGTCGAGAAGATATGTAGCTCAGATGGATGATTTTGGATGTATTTGTGTTCTTTGCAATGGATGGTTTAATTGCGAAAGTTCCATTGTTCATCCTTGACAGCCACTGAAACGTAGTCCATTGGCCTATTACAATTTTAACCACCACCGATTCGCGATACATATAGCCAGTATCATCATAGACATCTGTCCTCACATTCAACCACTTGGACCCCACTGTTCATGACTTCTCAATCGGACTTCCAATGAACTTTATCCTGTAGTGAGGCAGTAGTGAACAGTAGATTTATCATAACAAGAAATAGCAGTTTTTAAAAGTTTGAAGAATGATAGAAACATGGTAATTTTCTATCAGCGATCTAGGAAGTTCATTCTTAAATCACTCGCTGATTTTCGTGATGAAATCCACCATGACAACATTCCATAGTGGTAAATTCGTTTACTAATTCAAAAGTAGACAAAACACACAACTTACTTTCTCTTTGTATCTTGCAGTGTCAGTTGAAGCAGGTGATTCTCTTTTATGAGGTAAATGATTATGCCTTTCTTCAGTATGCTAAATTTAAAAGAGAGAAACAGAAAAGCAGGATTTATTAGTAATAATTACAAGAGTGATTCGATGATTATTTCTGCGTCGGTGGCACAGCGGTAGAATGCTCGCCAACCACGCCCCAGGTGGCTCGGGGTTCCATCTCGAGCAGACGCACTCCTCTGCCACACTATGTCAGTAATAAGAATGGTAAGGAGGAAAGGTTGGGCATGAGGCTGGCGAGTAACCCCATCCCGTAAAAAGCAACTCCACTGCTACCGAAACTTGAAGTCTCTAGCCTGAAGGTGCCATATATCCCACTCGTAATGTAAAGGAATATAAACCAAATTATTTCAGCTTAGCTGTTAAAAGGGTAGCATATTTCAAGTGGGTGATTCAATCCATTATTCAGGATCCATTACACCCGTTGAAAGTTTAAATTCAGCTAACTGTATTAACCTTTATGATTCTATGTCTGTATTTGTTTCCAAGTCAACACAGAGGACACACAGGTAATGAAAATATCTAACCAACGACGACAAGCGTTAATCACCTGGCTTTGTCTTATTGTTTCAACTACAGGTGGTGGCACACATTAGGGTGTGAAAAGTGTGAAGAATCAGAATAGCAAGATAGACCTTCGTCAATCTACTGCAATCAACATCAGCAACCACATACGGATCTTCTAGACTAATGCAAATTTAGTAGTTTTATATGGTTCAGAGAATTGGTGGACGTGTGCCTAGAAGCATTTCCAACAGGATACAATAGACTTTCATCTGAAGAAGCCTACAGAATATTAGAACAAGACATATAGGTGAACAATATTGTTTCAATTAGATCTTCTTCAGGCTTTACTCTAATTTACATTGATTTATATGTAAAAATCTTTACCCAGTGACGGTGATTTAGTGGATCAAATAATAATAATAGTGTGTTTTTACGAGTTGATCACGGATTGATATCATTTGGAGAACCATTGAAAACCAGCACTGGGGTACTGGACAGCTGTTTCATCCTAGTACATTGGGAATCATCGACAGTACGCACCCACTGCCAGGGTTCGAACCCACGACCTTCCGGGTACAATGCCAGCAAGCTCGCATACCATTCAGCCACTGATGGGATCCGATTCAATGGCCACTGCATGAATTACAACTTCTACAAATTCGCAGTTTAGCACGACCACCATGCAATGTCATTGGTGGGACATCCATCCTCACACTTGGCTGGATGGACCTCACTGGTCATGACTTCTCACTAGAACTCCAGGAAACTCCATTCTGTAGCAAGTCACTAGCGAGCTCCATGGTTTTCAATGGTTCTCTAACTGATATCAATCCGTAATCAACTCGTAAAAACAAAACTAATCCTTACAAAACAACTATAGAAAATAATATTGTGATAAATGTTTTGAACGACATAATTAACGATGATTTTAATGATAACAAAATTGTCATAATAAGGTTTATGCTGGTGGCGATGAGAATAATAACGGAGATAGTGAGTGATATGTGTGTAAGTAGACAAATCTTAAAGGTTGCGTAATACTAAGGGTAGGTAAAGTGGACAGATAGTCAGAATTTAAATAAACATCACAAAAGTACGAACGAAATGGAAAATAAGAAAAGGTGTGGGAGGGTTTTGATTAGAACTGGGAGAGACAAAGGTAGAACAAACTTCTTTTGTTGTATGCAAAGACTAGGATTGTTCTCTCCAACTGATTCCCATAGCTTCGGTTATGTGTGAAAGGCGAGTTCGAATTCTGTTCGAAAGGCTCGATAGAATGCGATGGATAACTTGGAAGGCACTACTTCTTATTGAGAGGCTAACAGATGTTTTACAACTGTTTACTGATACACGCACACACCATTGTATACCGCATATACACATATCTGTTTTTCATATTCATTTACCTGCGACCATGAACTTTTAGTCGAACGAAATCTGATGAAAGGTACACTTTGTTTAAAGTGTTTAACAAAAGTAGACTAATATATGTAAATCTGAGTTGAAATTTTGATCACAGTTCATACAATTTTGTTTATCATACATGTTGATATCTCTTTCATAACTCATATGACTGGACAAAGTTTTTTTAAAACAAGAGATGTCCTTCTTTATATAAAAATAGACCTTTCTTATGTTAATTTCGATTAATTTCCCTGAAGAAGTTCGGACCAGATTCCCGAACAAAACTTTGGAATTACTCATTTGATTTCGCTGAGATTTTACGGATATAATTTTTACGAAGGTACTACTTCTGTTCTACCTTTGTCTCTTCCTAGCATGGCCTAGGTTAGTTCTTATCAAAACCCTCCCACACGCTTTCTTATTTTCCATTTCCTTCGTACTTTTATGATATCTATTTAAAATCTGATTATCTGTCCACTTCGCCTACCTTTAGTATTGCGTAACTTATGAGATTTGACCCAATTTATTTATTGATTGAATTGTCTACATATACACATATACCTTTGTTATTCTTCTCATCTACACCTGCATAAACCTCATTATCATTATTTTGTTATCATTAAAATCATCGTTATTAATGACGTTCGAAACACTCAACACATTATTTTTATCATTTGGTCCACAAAATCTATGTAAATTAGGGCAAAGTCTGAAAAAGGTCTAATTGAAAACGACGATATTTTTCACTCACATGTCTTGTTCTATTAGTAATAATAATGGGCCTACAAAATATGCAAAATGAAATAGAGATGAACTGAACATATGCTGAGGAGATCATAAAGTACCCCTTGGACGCCGGGTCCTCAAGTCAGATCCAGGTGGGAAACATCGAGTTGAACATGTGGAAAAAGAGGTGATAGTTTTTACGGTCAACCGTGAAGCCAGCTTAAAATGACTACTGAGAAGAATAGGATGATTCTGAGATATTTTCAAGTATTGGTTTTGTAGGGATTTGTTTTGTTTGATTGCATGGAGGATTTCGTCATGAGCTGACATCAGTCCACTCTTGAATCAAATAATTATCCAAAAACCTTCATAAATAGATATTTAAAATGTGAAGATAAGGATGAATCAAAACCTAATGCTAAGAATTGGGTTAGTACAGCGGTGATTCCTTACCGTAAAGAAACATCTGACGAAATAAAGCGAATCCTTAACGACCATAACATACGAGTGTATTTTCGTGCATCAAACACTTTACGCTCATTACTGGTTAAGGTTAAGGATAAAATAGAACAAGAAAACCAGCAAAATTGTGTATACCAGATCAATTGTGGGGATTGTAACGCCGTATATGTAGGAGAAACTTCCAGACAGGTAAATGTAAGAGTGAAAGAGCATAAACAATGTCTAAAGGTGGTTCCAAAGACCTCTTCAGACTTGAAGAAGCTAGAAAACAACTCAGCGATTGCACTACATTCGATAGAAACGGGACACAAAATCGACTTTGATAAGACTAAGGTTTTACAGAAAGGTTTTGGTTCATATAAAGAAAGACTGACTGCAGAAGCCCTACATATATGGGTGAATCCCAGCAGTTTGAACAGACGTGAAGGTGTGATCTTAGCTGATGCATGGCAAATACTGACTAATAAATAAATTGGTTATGTTTCAACAACTAGTCACACTCGATCGAATTCCCGATTGTCTACGTCTTCTTATGCAGAGACTAACAAATTTATAAAATTATATTATATTTGTAAAAAATCTCAATTATTTTGTAACTATCCGGTCAAATCTTGATCACAGCTCATATGAGAATAACAAATGGTTTATGACTGTTCACCCACACACATACACAATTTTGATCACAGTTCATATAAAAAAAATAAATTTTGTTTTGTTTTGTTTATTATACCTATTGATAGCTGTTTCATGATTCACATGACAGGACAAACAATTTAAAACAAGAGATGTACTTTTATATGTAAACATACTATTTTATTTATGTATTTATTTATTATACATTTTGATGACTGTTGCATGACTCATGATTGGACAAAATTTAAAAACATGAGTTGTTCCTTTTATATATAAACCTCTGTTACGTTAATTCGATTAATTTCCCTGAAGAAGTTCGGACCAGATTGCCGAACGGAACGTTGGAATTAATCATTTCAATTTCGCTGAGATTTTACAAATATAATTTTTTACAAATGTCTACTTCTGTCTCGGCGCCCAAATATTTTAGAACTATTCGGTCAAATCTTGATCACAGTTCATATAAGTTGACATAATTTAGAGAGCCATTGGAAAACCTACTGGGAGTACTGGACAGATGCTTCATCCCAGTTTGGGACTCTTCAGCAGTACGCATCCACCGCAGGGGGGTTCGAACCCGGGACCTTATGGTTACAAGGTGAACTCGTACACTGTTGAGCCACTGGGACCCTGAGTTATACGACTGAAGCCCTCTATTCCGTTTGGAACCCAAGAGTAATAATGTACCAAATTAGCCATCAAATGTATTACTTCTTATTACATGTTAATACTGTCTAAGTCTTGACATAAGAACACTGGTCAAAGTGCATGTTCTCCATTCATGACCTCGTTACGTGAATCAGTTGAGAAGTGTAGAACTAAGCAACACTGAGCTATTTACTTCCTTCCGAAATGATATGTATTAACAGTAAGCACAGGGGATTAACACCTCCATTCTACTACACACATAAAACCATTGAAACATGTTCTATAAAGTTCCAAAAAACAGGCAATAATTTCAAATATTTACTGAACCTCAACATTTCTGGTGAGATTTATAGTAATACTTTTATACTACTAACAATTTTAATCAGTAGACAGCACTGACTTCTATAATATTTGTAAGTAAAAGATGTGAACTCAGGAACAAAGATATTTGAAAATTGTTACTTACTTCAGGAATGCCATATGTAACTTCTCGTTCGAATTTCTGTAAAGAATATTTTTAACAAAGAAGGAAAGATTAGATTAGTACTCATACGAGAAATGATCGATTATCATGTAATAATTTTCCCTTGATTTGATTGGTTATAGAGTTTGTTTGATCATTAGGTGATATCATTTGTTAGATAACTAAATATAAAAATATTCCCATTGTAAAATTTAGAACAACACATTTAGGCGAATAATACTGTTCTCGTATTTTGTCTACCCGAAGTGCACACATCGGGTGTTCCTCTTCACACCGTTATTATTATTATTATTGTTCCCTTGGGTTCCTAGTGGAACATAGGGCTTCAACTGCACGCCTCCACTTGCTCCTGTCTTCTGCTGTACTTTTCACTTGCATCCATGTTAATTCATACTGTTTCAGTTCCTCATCACACGATCTCCTCCATGTCACCCTGGGACGTCCCACTCGCCACCGCTTCCCTTTCGGGTTCCACTCGAGCAGTGGCCTGACGCGCGATGTCACCCAACGGCCTCCTCAGCGAGTGTCCAATCCATCTCCACTTTCTCCTCCATATTTGTTGGGCGATGGGTTCTTGTTTTGTTTCTTCCCATAGTTTCGTGTTGGTGATTCTTTCCCGCCGGCCATCTGATCTTCAGTATAGAGCCAGCGAAGACAGTTGTTGATAAAGGTCTGCAACAGGCTGTTGGAAATATTCTTCGTCATCCGCCACGTTTCTGATCCGTATAGAAGAACTGACTCGCTTGACGTTTGTATTGAAAATCCGAATTTTGTTGTTGATGCTGAGTGACGAGGATTTCCAGATTGGTTTCAGGTTAATGAATGTGTTTCTCGCCTTCCCGATTCTCGACTTGACATCCTCGTCCGTTTCTCCTGTGGTTGAGACAATGCTCCCTAGATAAGTGAAAGAAGTAACCTCTTTCAAATCCCTCCCCCGGTTGATGATGATTGGCGCTGGATGTTGCTGCTGCTGTTGTTGTTGTTGTTGGTTGGTTATTTTCATAACCTCCGTCTTGTCTATGTTCACCTGGAGTCCTGTCTTTGCTGCTTCTTCGACCAGTTTGTCGGTTTTCGCTTGTAAGTCTTCGATTTTGTGTGACATCAAACATAAATCATCCACGCGCGAAATCCAGGTCTTCTAGGTTCTTCGCGTCGGTCCAGGATATCCCTGTCTTCTCGTTTCCCACTGTCTGACGCATAATCCAGTCTACCACAATTAGGAATATCATTGGTGATAATAAGCACCCTCTTCTGACTCCTGTGTTTACTCTAAACACCTCACACTGTTATAGATATGTATAACTTTCTGTTTCATGGAACAGTAAAGTGGTTAGTGAAGATTTTGGAACTTTTGGACAAAGAAATTGTGAGGCATAGAATTCGTAATGTCTTCGACTTGATTTCTAAAATATCCGACACTAATGTAAGGGATGAACGTATGTTATTCATGGATGTATCTCTTATCAAAATGGTAGATTACATTTGTCGAGAAATCAGCGAAAGGCAGTTGGACTTAGGAATTCCCTTGTGGAGCATCAAATAATTACCCCTTAGATGCACAATGAATGTGCACTTTGTCTTCAATAACTCATACTAGCGACAAGTAGAGGGGATAGCTATGGGTTCACCATTAAGCCCAATATTAGATGACTTCTTCCTCGGTAAACTTGAAAATGTAAGATAGAAAGATATCATCATCAAGGAGTTAGATATGCATTGCCGTTATGTCTATGATACATTTATCTTAACTGATGGGAATGCAAACATAGACGAATTGTTGGTGAATTTCAACAACATCCACCTACTTCGTTTACCTTTACTTGTGAAGAGGAGCAGGATAGAAACCTGCATTTTCTGGATGGCTTGCTAAGTAAGCGAGAAGATGGGTCACTTGGGAGAAACGTGTGTAGAAAAAGCACATTCACAGGGAAATACACACACTTCCTTAGTTAAGTGCCCATTAAATATAAAAGGAATGTTGTTAAATGTCTTACGAGTAGACCAAGAAAGATATGTACGTATGACCTCTTACGAAATGAATTTGAATATATTCACGATTCCTTGACGGAGTTGGGCTATGCGAGTACTTTCATACAGGAAACATATGAAAATATTGGAGAGGAAACCTGAGACTATGATTGCACGTTAAAAACCTCTATTTATTAAGTTACAGTTTAATGGTGACTTGTCAAGTGAGATTTTATTCCAGAGACTTTCCAGGAGAATACGAAGTAGGTTTTACGCAGCAAATCTGTTTGTTATTATCTAGGCGACAAATGATCTGGACGCAAACGGAGGATAAGCTAGATAGTTTTGCCATATCCATGTGCATTTATCAATTCAACTACATCTGAGATGACAGTTATGTTGGGCGTACTACATAACAGACAGCTTAGCCAACGCGTTACTGAACATCTCCCATCGTGTTGGTTTGGCAAAGGAGAGACAAAAACAATCCTTAGCTCAATTTTTTCACATTTAGTTGATAGTGGTCATGTAGCGGAGAAAACGAGAGCTTTCAAGGTAATACATCGTATCCCACCGAATCTGTCCAATAGACTTCGTATTCGTCTACTGCATGCACACAGCTGAGGCGATAGGCATTCGAACTATTAAACTTAAACTATGCATTCAAAAGAAGATCGTACAGCCATTATCCCTCTCTTGGCCTATGAAGACATAACCAACTAATGACGTCTACACCACCCCTTACTCTTGTTATCACAGATTGTCTCACTTTTTCATCCTTATTATTGAGAGAACCATTATTATTATCATTACTACTATTATGACTAATTGTACAATTTATATTCACCATCTTATTATCCCATAAACAAAACTCCATGACTGGTTTATATTTGAATTTTTATTTGTAAAGTTATGTAGGTATATTAGAGTCAAGCATGATGAGATCTAACTGAAAACAACAATATTTTCAAGAGTTCGTTTGTAAGGATTAGATTTGTTTTATGAGTCTGACCACGGATGGATATCAGTTAGAGAATGGTATATGAGCTAGCTTTGTAACCGGAAGGTCCTAGGTTCGAACCCTGGCAGTGGGTACGTACTGCCGATGATTCCAAAACTAGGATGAAACGGCTGGCTGTCCAGTACTCCAGTGCTGGTTTTCAATGCTGCTCTAACTGATATCAATCCATCATCAACTCGTAAAAACAAAACTAACCCTTACACACCAAACTATAGAAAATTAATTTGATGCTCACTAGTGACTTGCTACAGGACGCTGTTTCCTGGAGTTCTAGTGAGAAGTTGTGACCAGTGAGGTCCAACCAGTCAAGTGTGAGGATGGATTTCCCACCAATGACATTGGCTGGCGGTCGCGCTAAATCATCAATTGGTAGAAGTTAGATTTCATGCAGTGGCCATTGAATCGGATCCCATCAGTGGCTGAATGGTATGCGAGCTTGCTGGCATTGTAACCGGAAGGTCGTGAGTTCGAACCCTTGTGATGGGTGCGTACTGCCGACGATTCCCAATCTACTAGGATGAAACAGCTGGCTATCCAGTACTCCAATGCTGGTTTACAATGGTTATCTAACTGATATCAATCCGTGGTCAAACTCGTAAAAACAACACTATTGCTCGCTTATATGTCTTGATCTAAATTAATAATGGTAATATTTAAAGACTTGATTTACTTTAATATGGAAATAGATGTGACCATGATCTGACGTCATTTAGTGAATCAATGAAGACTAAGAAGTACTGGACAATCAGCCGTTTTGTCCAAGTCTGGCAATCTTCATCAGTATACATCCACAACTTTTTTTATTCCTTCACTTTCCCAGTGGAATATAGAGTGCCTTCAAGCTAGAGAAATCAAGTTTCAGTAGCGGTAGTAGTGGTGTTGATTTTTACAGGATGGGGTTGTTAGCCAGCCTCAGATCCAATCTTCCCTCCTTAACATTCCTATCTCTGGCTTAGTGGGGTAAAGGAATGTTCCGGCCGCGACGCATCCACAACTAAACTATATTAAAGGAATCGTCGGAAGCTGCATAATCATTATCTGCTATATTTTGCAATGCGGATGAATTATCATCATAACACTCTCATTTGCGTCGGTGGCGCAGTGGTAGAATGGTCGCCAACCACATCCCATGTGGTACGGGGTCCGATCCCCGGACGACTCATTCTCTTACCTTGCTAAGCCAGTATTAAGAATGGTAAAGAGTGAAGGTTAGGCATGCGGCTGGTGAGTAACCCCATCCCGTAAAAGGCAACATCACTGTTCCTGAAACTTCAAGCCTCTATCTTGAAGGCACCCTATGTTCCACTGGGAACGTAAAGCAGTAAAATAAAATAATAATAATCTCATTTGTCCATCCAAGTTGGGAATTGCTTTTTAACGCATTAATTTCTGTTACTCAACGATTGTCCCATTTATCTGGCCCTAAAAGTACAAGTCTACTTATACAGATGGAATTCGAGGGTCAAGGTGACATTCCTTAGATATTATGATGCACCAGTAGACGGCTACAGTAGGTCATTCATAGAGTGCCAGCAAAAATGTACACCTATGAAGACGAAATCGTAGAGATATCGTAGGATATTTCATTAAGCATTATTAATTTAATACAGCAATACATCGATAACAATTTGAAGAGACTTACCACAGGTACTCTTATCCATGTATTATTAACATATTCAGTTTTCATGAATAAACCAAGTGAATTCAATTGATTTATTTGTGAATCCCATTGAAATGTGTATTTATTCCATGACACTGTTGTTGGCATTTCACTAACAACTAAAGCACCAACTGGTAAAGCTGTACCAATTGTTTTCAGCTCATTTATATTGTGAATTATTTTAACCTAAAATTGAACATTGAATGCAAAGACAAAGCGGTTTTAATGAAATCAAATTTAAATCTGGCGGCTAGTTTATAAAATCACCAAGGCGACTAAGTTTCCATGCATGAATATGAATCAAATTCATTCTGTTTCATGTTATTTTGAATCATCTACTCATGTATTTGAATAGCGATCTGTACTCACTCATTTAACATCCTGGAAAGAATAAAAGATGCACTGGATACAGAACTCCGCCAGTCCCACCGGAACAAACTGGATTCGGGAAAGGTAAATCATATGCTGATCAAATTGCAGCTCTACGCATCGTCATCACAGAATAAAGCATGGAATGGTAGTCAAACCTCAATCCACCTCAACTTCATCGACTTCGAAAAGGCCTTCGACAGACAGTGGTGATCGAGAAGTAATTTGGGAACTACTTCTACACTACGGCGTACCTCAAGTCTTTATCCAACTCATTCAACATTTGGCTATATGACAACGCCACGTATCAGGTGATCCACAAGGGGAAACTCAGTGAAGCGTTCGAAGTGCATACAGGAGTCAGACAAGGGTGCTTATTATCACCAATGATATTCCTAATTGTGGTGGAGAGGATTATGCGTCAGACAGGGGGAAACGAGAAGACAGGGATATCCTGGACCGACGTGAAGAACCTAGAAGACCTGGATTTCGCGCGTGGATGATTTATGTTTGATGTCACACAAAATCGAAGACTTACAAGCGAAAACCGACAAACTGGTCGAAGAAGCAGCAAAGACAGGACTCCAGGTGAACATAGACAAGACGGAGGTTATGAAAATAACCAACCAACAACAACAACAACAGCAGCAGAAACATCCAGCGCCAATCACCATCAACCGGGGGAGGGATTTGAAAGAGGTTACTTCATTCACTTATCTAGGGAGCATTGTCTCAACCACAGGAGAAACGGACGAGGATGTCAAGTCGAGAATCGGGAAGGCGAGAAACACATTCATCAATCTGAAACCAATCTGGAAATCCTCGTCACTCAGCATCAACAACAAAATTCGGATTTTCAATACAAACGTCAAGCGAGTCAGTTCTTCTATACGGATCAGAAACGTGGCGGATGACGAAGAATATTTCCAACAGCCTGTTGCAGACCTTTATCAACAACTGTCTTCGCTGGCTCTATACTGAAGATCAGATGGCCGGCGGGGAAGAATCACCAACAAGAAACTATGGGAACAAACAAAACAAGAACCAATCGCTCAACAAATATGGAGGAGAAAGTGGAGATGGATTGGACACTTGCTGAGGAGGCCACTGGGTGACATCACGCGTCAGGCCATAGCTCGAGTGGGACCCGAAAGGGAAGCGGTGGCGAGTGGGACGTCCCAGGGTGACATGGAGGAGATCGTGTGAAGAGGAGTTGAGGCAGTATGGACTAACATGGGTGCAGGTGAAAAGTACAGCAGAAGACAGGAGCAAGTGGAGACGTGCAGTTGAAGCCCTATGTTCCATTAGGAACCCAAGGGAACAATAATAATAAGACTCTGGAAGATCTTGATTTCGTGGGTGATATATGTCTATTGTCACACAAATTCGAAGACTTGCAAGTGAAAACCGACAAACTGGCAGAAGACGCTGGCTGGAAGCAAAAACAGGAATCCGGATGATGAATATAGAGAAGACAGAGCTGATGAACATAACCAACCAACAAACAAACAACAACAACAACCAGAACCAATCACCATTATTGGGAAAGATTAAGGAGAGGTTGCCTCCTTCACTTATCTGGGAAGCATCGTTTCAACTACAGGCAGTCGGAATGGACGAAGATGTCAAAGCCAGTCAGAATCAGAAAGGCAAGATACGCCTTCATCAACCTGAAACCAGTTTGGAAATCTTCTGCTTCACTCACTCAGCCAGCATAAACAACAAGATTCGGATTTTCAACACCAATGTGAAGTCTGTTCTTCTATATGGGTCACAGACTTGACCAGCGTGTAACGCAAAAAATTTCCAACAGTCTGCAGATTTTCATCAATAGATGCCCTCCTCGCTGGCTTCATACTAAAGATCAAATGGCCAGAAAGAATGAGTAACAAGAAACTCTGGCTGGGAACAAACCAACCAATAGCCAACTGGTCAGCAAATGTGTAGGAGAAAAGGGAGATGAATCAGGTACAATTTGAGGTGAGCGTTGAATGACATCAAGCTGAATGCAGGCCATTGCTTCAGTGAAATCCCAATGGGAAATAACAAGTGGGTCGTTGATGTGACGGTATCATGGAGGAGATCGTGTGAGGAAGAGATGAGAGATTTTAGCCAACCGTGGTCCAAGCTGAAGAGGTTGGCAGAAGACAGGACAAAGTGGAGATGTGTTGTTGAAGCCCTATATTCCACTAAGAACTCATTTTCAAAGGGTATACAACCTATCTCTGTACATTTTTCAAAGGAACTGGAGAGAGACACATTATCGGTTATTGGAGAGTATTCGCATAGAGGAGTATTGATTCACTTGATACATTGTCAATTGTTGTCTTAAGTGAAGTTTCTACAAAAGGAGTAGTTACTTCGCTATAAAATAGGCCAACAATTCCTCCCGAGGTATAGGCACACTTTATCATATTGTAGCTTCTAATTGTTCAACTGTTTATTTCTACGGAAACATTTTTTTCATTCATTTACGTTCCCATTGGAACATAGGGCACCTCCAAGCTAGAGGCTTGAAGTTTCAGTATTAGTAGTATTCCCTTTTAAGGGATGAGGTTGCTAACCGGCCTCATGACCAACCTGCTCTCTTTGCCAATCGTATTACTGGCTTAGCGAGGTAAAGGTGTGCGTTGGCCGAAGGTCGAACCTCGAGCCACAGAGGGGGATCATTCTACCAATATGCCACCGACGAACTAGTATAAATTTATGCATTTCTCACTGAATATTTCTCTTTACTTACGCCCAGAATTTTCTGATTTCCTGTATCCATTTTATTCCATCCTGTGTATAATAAATCTGGACGATATTGTGATTGCTCTGTAGAAGATCTTGATGAACGTTTGACACGATGTTGCCTTTCCTGCATTCTATAAACTCGAAAGTTGAAGTGTCTTTCCTGTTTAATTCCTTGCAAGTTACTATTGTTCTGTGAACGTATTTTTCGAATAAATCTCCTCAATATAACCTCGCCTTTTTCACCTTTTGGACCTTTTGGGAAATAGTCATTTGGCTGAAAATATAAAACAAATGGATATATTATTTAATTATTAATAAACTGTGTTACGTAGCATGGATTTGAAAGTAAATTAAGTGATATAAATTATACGAGACCATCTAGACGATTAGAATACGGAGCAACTCTAAGAGTGACATTCTCTAGCCGCCCACTTCTTCGGAGCAATGGGAAGGACAAACTGTCGCATATGACCAATTCAACGTGCATATACCAGTTCACCTGCTCATGCAGAGTTAGATACATAGGTCGTTGTATGCGCGTCCTTTCAAAACGTGTTAGAGAACACTACCCAGCGTGGCTGCAAAGAGGAGGCACCGGTTCAGTCAGAAGTGCCATTATTGAGCATCTGATCAATACCTCCCACAACATCTCAACTGATTCATTCAAAGTAATTTACAAAGTCAACAGAAACCTACCGAAAGCAGTTTGTTTCCGACTTCTCTGTACTGCAGAAGCCCTCGCAATATGCATCGAGAAGCCGGAGCTGTGTGTTCAAAAGAAATTAGTCCAACCTCTACAACTACCATGGACTTAGTTCGGTATGTTACCTTAGCTTCCGTTTTTGTTTTTTGATCCCTTTTCGTTCGCTATGTGTGTGATTCTTACTCCCTCAGTCTTCATTCGATTCACCCCATTTTTTTTCCAGTTATAAAAACAGTTATTTTAAGTTTGTTTCCATGCTTTTCCTGTTCACATTTATAATTCGTTTTAAAAATTTACAATTATATCTTAATCCTGTGCAATTTTTTGTGTTTCTAAGGCTCTTGTAATCTATATTCGCACCTCCTGATTCCCATCTCAAGTTGAAAATTATTATTTCAATTTTGTTTCCATGCTCATTTTTACACACTTGATATCCTGCGTAATTTTGTTTCTAAGCCTCTCGTAAAAACCATATCTAGTTGGAAATAATTATCACCTTTTATTCGCCGTCATAATTATGTAGAATCAAACAAGAATTGTCTCCATGTAAAATTATGTATTTAGATGCGATTGTACAGCTTTTGAAAATGAAATCGCCGAAAAGATATCTTTGCTGAACTTCTTATTCTTCTAAATATAAAGTAAACATGTGACCAAGGCAAGTACAATCTCTTGTCATCCGATTGAAGGTGACTTAGGGTATAATTTAGTGCACGCAGGTTGTCCTCTATGACGCTCGTCATCAGATGTACTTGGATCACACTTATTGATGGTGTTTCCACCGAGACTTCAACACGATGCTCATCGTTTTGAAATGCTGCTGCGTTATCTCCACTAGGCTATTCTATCATGACAGCAATCTCTTCTGCTGCTTATCACTAGCTAGTTATTACCAGAGCAGACTGTCTGGTCCCTGTTGAGTAGTTGTTGAATTAGAGTCTTCTTGGATAGACAGAACGGAACGCGCCTTCTGAATTCTACTGCTGCCCATCACCAATCAGTCAGCAAAATATACTGACCAAGAATAGACCGAAAAATGCCATTTTTTCAAAATAAATGTTATAACACACAGCCATTCTGACCACATGTTCTTAGACACACACACTGTCACTTGTATGTCTTGAGGGAGTTCTGTTTCAAGCCTATGTACATATAAATATAGGACGCTGTGGTAGTATGTAATTCGGTATTAATTTTTTTAGTCGAATATATAACTCCGAAAAGCAAGACAAGCTTTCACTACTCCCAAGTCTGTGTGGAGGTCAACAGCACTCAGCATCAAAAATAAGATCCGGATTTTCAACTCTAATGTGAAGTCAGTGCTACTATACGGATCACAGACTTGCACTGCGCGTCATAAAGAGCATCTCAAACAAACTACAGACCTTCATTAACAGTTGTCTTCACTCAATACTCAAGATCAGATGGCCGGCCAGAAAAGATCAGCAACAGGGATCTCTGGGAGCGAACCAACTCATAAGTAACCGATTGTGAAACAAATAGGCAGGAAGAAATGTAGATGGATTGGCCATACTCTGAGGAAACCATCTGATGACATTACTAGATAAGCCCTCGAGTGGAACCGAAAAGGAAAGCGGCGAGTTGGTCGTCAGTGCAAGGGTGACTTGAAGGAGGTCATGTGAAGAGGAGATGAAAACGTGTGGGTAGACTTGAAGCCAGGTGAAAACGTTGGCAGAGAACCGAACGCAATGGAGACGTGAGTGGCTGAAGCCCTATGTTCCTCTAGGAATTAAAGGAAACAATAATAATAATATCACTCGGAGAAGCCAGACTACTTACTAGATGACGTTTTGAACACAATTCATCATTCCACATTAGTTTGTTTATAAAATGTATCACACAGTGAAACAGTGTTATTTACTCGATGATATTTCGAACAAAATTTATTGTTCACAATCATATCAGTTATAAACACATTACTTCGAAACTTGAGTTTTATAGTTTTCTTCGTCCTCTCCTATTTGTTGTCGTTGGGGTAGTAGAATTTTCCAGATATCTCGCTGGACAAGTGTTGAATCATTCCTATTACACGTGTTTGCAGTTGATTTGATAAACAAAGCTTCCGTTATCGATCTCTCCCTCCACCCTGCTGTTACATTAGATTTTAAAACTGTCGTCTTATGCCAACCTACTATATAGTTGTGTACAGCTGTAGGCAGTGCTATAACTGATCTACTCTCTAGATTTCTGATCTTATTAGCATCAAGTAAATTACAGTCTGCTAGGTGTTTGTACTACACTAATCTAACTAACCTTATCCTACTACTTTGGCCTATGTATCTGACTTGATAACCATTACAGGGTATTAAACAAACTAAACTGCTTTATTCGTTAGGACTTACAGGATCCTTCAACCGACATAATTTGTTTCTAAGTGAGTATGTTGGGATGGCGGCGGGGGGGGGGGTTGAATGCCACTTATATTCCAGCTTTGTTAAGAATTACACTTGAGGTTACAGAGGTTCCTTATCCGTATGGGAGGACTGTTGATGTTTTGAGTTCCTCTACTGTCGGTGTTGTCATCTTTCTGTGGATGCTAGCAATACGGATCATCCTTACTATTACTTATTTGATTTCAACAGTTTCCTACATACTTTCTGATTAACTTATCATGGTAACTTACTTACTGATGAAGAGCTCGATGAAGGGTTTATGATTAATAATGAGGATGGCACAGTAAGAAGAAGTGTATACAGAAAACCTACATCAACGGGTCAGTGTACTCATTTCTTCAGCTTCATGCCCTTGAAATACAAACGCAATCTGATAAAGTGCTTTGTCTGCCACAGAGCAAGAGCAATCTACTCGGATGAATGTCTTGATGAAGAACTTAATAATATTAAATGGTTGCTGAGTGAAAACGGTTATCCAGAAAAGTTTATTGATAAAAATATGAATCTAAAATCAAAGCAGCCAAAGGTATCAACAGTTCCTAAAAAGGAAGGCCTTATTCTTACAAATGCAGTTCCTGGGGGATAAGATCAGCGAGATACTAACACATCGCCTTAAGAATGCGGCATATAGAGCATTCCCTGATACTAATTTAACTGCTCCTGTGAAGTGAGCCAGTTGCATAGGCCGTACAATGAGGCGTGTTTCTCGTTGGATTTCCGAACATCACCCTGCGTCGTTGGTTAAGTAAAGGACAAACAAAATCTATTCGTAGCTCTATTCGATCTCATCTTGTGGATACAGAACACAAGATTATTGTCAACGAGGTAGCTTTCAAAGTCATTTACCGCATTCCAACAAATCTCAATTTTGCCTTAAGAGTTCGATCACTAAATATCGCTGAAGCTGGCCGTTGGGATCCACATCAAGAAGCCTAATTTATGCGTCCAAAAGAAGCTAGTTCAGACATTATCCTTACCTTGGCCATCCAGGTTTGAATGATCCTGAATTCTTGTGGAAATTTTCCTAATTTTAGTTGTTATTCTATTTGCTACTATATTTTTAATTATTATTATAATTTAAGCATCTTTAATGAACTGTAATTCCATTGTGATCTTACTTTACAAATCGATATTATTTCAAAAACACTAATATTGTTATTGACTACTATTCTAGAATTTTCTATGTGTATAAACATATATATAATTTTAGAGCCAGGAGAGGAAATTATCGAAAAGGATATTCTTTGCTCAATTACTTTGTGTTTTATAGATATCTGAATGAATATTTTCGTTATAATGATGAGTTCCTTAGTAAAAATAGTTATTCAGATAAGTCCTTTGAGAAAAATATGAGCACCAAAATAAGCTAGTAGAGCAAAAGCTCCAAAAAGGCCATTATTCATAAAACTTTAGTTCCTTGGTGGTAACATCGGTGAATTAGTAACACAACCTTAAAAATGTAGTTAGAAGAGACTTCAATAAAACAGAGGTATTTTGTCTCTTCACTGCCGTCCCTATTTTAAATTCGGAAAACAGGGACAAATTACTTAATTTCAACTCCTCTGTGTGTATATACCAGTTTGACAACAGTTGCAGAGCCAGCTACATTTGACGTACAGTTGCGTGTGTTCATCATCGTATTTCCAAACATCATCCTGCAACATGGTTAAGCAAGGGACAAACAAGATCTATTCGTAGCTAGCTCTATTTTAGCACGCCTTGTAGATATTTAGCATAAAGGTGACGTTAATACAGCATTTAAAGCCATCGAAATCTACCTAAAGAAGCCGACATCTGTGTATTAAGAAGAATTATGTGCATCCACTTTCCTTACCTTGGACATCGTTACATGAATTAAGAAAACCTGGCTACTTCGCCTTCCTCTGCCCCTCCTTAAGCCTTTTGAAATTATAATTGTCCAAATTATCTTATTCTTATGACTACCTCATCTTTAATTACAAGTTATCGTTGTCCAAATTATCTTGTTTTTCTTTAATTATTACCTATTACGCA